TCCCACTTATGAGTGAGAACATGCAGTGTCTGGCTTTCTGTTCCTGTGTTAGTTTGCTGAGAATGATGGTTTCCAGTTTCATCCACGTCCCTCCAAATCCATGTCTTTTTTCATGGCTGCATAGTATTCCATGGTGTATATGTGCCACATTTTCTTTATCCAGTCTATCATTGAAGGGCATTTGGGTTGGTTCCAAGTCTTTGCTGTTGTGAACAGTGCCACAATAAACATATGTATGCATGTGTCTTTATAGTAGAATGACTTATAATCCTTTGGGTATATACCCAGTAATGGGATTGCTGGATCAAATGATATTTCTAGTTCTAGATCCTTGAGGAATCACCACACTGTCTGCCATAATGGTTGAACTAATTCACACTCTCACCAACAGTGTAAAAGCGTTCCTATTTCTCCACATCCTCTCCAGCATATGTTGTTTCCTGACTTTTTAATGATTGCCATTCTAACTGGGGTGAGATGGTATCTCATTGTGGTCTTGATTTGCATTTCTCTAGTGACCAGTGATGATGAGCTTTTTTTCATGTTTGTTGGCCGCATAAATGTCTTCTTTTGAGAAGTGTCTGTTCATATCCTTCGCCACTTTTTGATGGGGTTGTTTGCTTTTTTCTTCTAAATTTGTTTAAGTTCTTTGTAGATTCTGGCTATTAGCCCTTTGTCAGATGGATAGATTGCAAAAATTTTCTGTCATTCTGTAGGTTGCCTGTTCACTCTGATGATAGTTTCTTTTCCTGTGCAGAAGCTCTTTAGTTTAATTAGATCCCATTTGCTAATTTTGGCTTTTGTTGCCATTGCTTTTGGTGTTTTAGTTCTGAAGTCTTTGCCCATGCCTGTGTCCTGAATGGTATTGCCTAGATTTTCTTCTAGGGTTTTTATGGTTTTAGGTCTTATGTTTAAGTCTTTAATCCATCTTGAGTTAATTTTCGTATAAGGTGTAAGGAAAGGATCCAGTTTCAGCTTTCTGCATTTGGCTAGTCAGTTTTCCCAACATCATTTATTAAATAGGGAGTCCTTTCCCCATTGCTTGTTTTTGTCAGGTTGGTCAAAGATCAGATGGTTGTAGATGTATGCTGTTATTTCTGAGGCCTCTGTTCTGTTCCACTGGTCTACATATTTGCTTTGGTACCAGTACCATGCTGTTTTGGTTAATGTAGCCTTGTAGTATAGTTTGAAGTCAGGTAGCATGATGCCTTCAGCTTTGTTCTTTGTTTTTTTGTTTGTTTGTTTGTTTGTTTCCTTCTTCTTTTTTGTTGTATTTTTCGCTATGTGGGCTCTTTTTTTTGTTCCATATGAAATTTAAAGTAGTCGTTTTCAGTTCTGTGAAGAAAGTCAATGGTAGCTTGATGGGAATCGCATTGATTCTATAAATTACTTTGGGAAGTATGGCCATTTTCACAATATTGATTCTTCCTATCCATGAGCATGGAATGTTTTTCCATTTGTTTGTGTCATCTCTTATTTCCTTGAGCAATGGTTGGCAGTTCTTCATGAAGAGGTCCTTCACATCCCTTATAAGTTGTATTCCAAAGTATTTTATTCTCTTTCTAGCAGTTGTGAATGGGAGTTCACTCATGATTTGGCTCTCTGTTTGTCTGTTATAGGTGTGTAGGAATGCTTGTGATTTTTGCACATTGATTTTTGTACATTGATTTTTGTATCCTGAGACTTTGCTGAAGTTGCTTATCAGCTTAAGGAGATTTTGGGCTGAGACGTTGGGGTTTTCTAAATATACAATCATGTCATCTGCAAACAGAGACAATTAGACTTCCTCTTTTCCTAATTGAATACCCTTTATTTCTTTCTCTTGCCTGATTGCCCTGGCCAGAACTTCCAATACTATGTTGAATAGGAGTGGTGAGAGAGGGCATCCTTGTCTAGTGCCGGTTTTCAAAGGGAATGCTTCCAGTTTTTGCCCATTCAGTATGTTATTGACTGTGGGTTTGTCATCAATAGCTCTTATTATTTTGAGATATGTTCCATCAATACCTGGTTTATTGAGAGTTTTTAGCATGACGGGCTGTTGAATTTTGTCGAAGGCCTTTTCTGCATCTATTGAGACAAATCATGTTGTGGTTTTTGTCATTGGTTCTGTTTATGTGATGGATTACATTTATTGATTTGTATGTGTTGAACCTCAGTAAAAATTTAATGTTTCAATATTATTAGATACTTTAACTTTAAAGTCCTAGGGTTTTAAAGAGAGTGATGTAATAAAATTCCGGGGTGTTCATTTACTCACCTAATCACTGACATTTAAACAAACAAGCCTCTAACATTTTAACAACTACAACACCTTTCCTTGACTCTACTTCTCACTCTAGTAACTACCTTCTTTCTTTTCATAGCTGCGTTTCTAAGAGCTTGCTATACTCAATCTTTTTGCTCTCTATCCACTCCTTTCTAATATAACTTTCTACCAAAACAGTTCAAATGCTCCATAGACCCATTTTATCCAGTGTGTCCCTTCTTGAAACACTTTCTTCTCTTGCTTCCATACTTTACTGATTTTCTCTCAACTCCAGGATCTCTTTTGTAGATTCCTGTATGTTGCTGTTACATGTTAACATTTCTCAAAGCTCAAGTTTGTGGCCTCCTTTTTTCCTCATATTCTAACCTTTACCGACGTAATCTCATTCACTTCTATACCAACAACTCCCAAATTTGCATTTCCTTCCCAGATTTCTCCTTTGAACTCCAGAGTATTGCATACTCTCCATTCCCATGAGGAAATCTCAAAGCCTCCTCTAACTCAACACATTTCAAATGGAATGATGATCTTCACTCCTCCATGCCTGGGTTTGATATCTTGGTGAATGACACTGTAACCCACTCACCTGCATAACACACAGACCTAGCAATTGGTTTTGAAACTCCCGTCTCCTTAGCCCCCCACCCCATAGTATCCAGTACATTAACAATCTCTTATAAATCTCTCTCAGATCTACCTATAATCTCTGCATCTGTGCTAACACCATCCTAATCCAAGTTAACATCTTTTCCTGCCTGGACTACTGTGTAACCACCCAACTGGCTTTGTGCAGCCCCCTTTTCTAGCTCAGTCTGTCCTTCCCACTGCAACCAGAATAAATGCAAGTATTATCAAGCTGCTTAGATGCCTAAAACCCTTTTAATTAGTAAGCATTTCTTGTAGCTGAAAGATCATAATCTGACTGCCTCTCTGGCCCCATCTTGCATCAGGCTCCTCACTTGCTCCCTCTATGCCTGGTATAATTTCAGTACCTTTAATGTGTCCCATTCCTAGCACAGCTGTTCACCTTGTTTGACACGCTTCTCCCTCTGTCCTCCTCAGGTTGCCTAGGCAACTCCTATTCAATTGACTGGATGTAAGGTCATTTCATCACAGAAACCTTCCCTGGCCCTCAGACTAAGTCAAATTTCCTTTTTCTGTACTTTCATAGCACTCGCTATTTCATAAAAACGATTGTTGACTTATATGTACACATTTGGTTGTATAATGATTTGATTAATATTTATCTTGCCTACTACTCTATTTAATGAGGGCAAGGACTGTATTTATTATTCTTACCGTTTCATCCTCAAAGCCTATTGCAGTGCCTGGCACACAGTAGGCACTTTCTAAAAGTCTGCTGACTGAATAAACAGAGGAAATGCACAAATGAAGGGCAGAGGTCGTAGTAACTTGCCCAGGGTCAAGATGGCAAGGCTGAGACTATAGTTTCCAGCCCAGATCACCAGCCTTCTGAATAAATATCTTGTCCTAAATTTTGTTCTAAATCACTGGAACCAAAGCAACGTCACAACTCAAGTCCAATTTCTCGGCCTCCCGTTTTCTACAGATGGCATTTATTCAGCAATGGAATGTTGTAAGTATAGTAATTTTTCTTTTTTCCATGAAACATGTGTTATCTTCTTGCTCTATTTTGAAGGGATATTATGATAAACGATTCTACTATTTAAAACTTGTAAAGCTTCTTGGGATTCTCAGAAAAAGTACAAGATATAGGTCAAAAAGAGTAATTTTTGTCTCTCACAAAAGAATTTTCTGTTTAAAAAAATGCTGTTAACTTGAAAAAGTGGTATCTCCCAAAGAACATTCTAATAGGTGGGATCATCATCATCATATTTCTAGCTGCTATGTATATCCCTTCCCTTAAAAGTAAAAAAGGAGAAAATCACTTTGCTGTGTGGAAGTGCTTTGTGTGTTTTATAAAATCCCCATAAAATATTTAGTGGTTCAAGGAACGGCTGCCGCATTTCTAAGGCAAATAGCTTATCCCTGAAAAAGCTTGAGGATCTGACTCTCAAGAGTCTTGTGCTCTGGATGAATAAGAAATAATTATTTTTGAACTTCCTTGCTCACGTCAGTGACTTCCACCTGCACCCAATCCATTGGTTATAAGTACCCATGAATTGCCTTGCCAATTGTAGGCAGGATTACCTAGGAGGACCAGGCAAAACCAAACTCCTGGTAAGCTTTATTAGCCTTTTCTATGATGTGTCTCAGTTTCCATTTCACACCTTGGAGTGGAAGACAATCTCTACTCACACTGTTGTGGTACGTGTCTGTCTGTCTCAGATGTGTGTGTAAGGTGTATTTCTCAGCTCAGGGTATCTGAAGTAATTTCTTTCTTTCTTTCTTTCTTTTTTTTTAAGACCGCTGTCTTAAGGCTTAAAAGTAATTTAAGGTTTTGTTTTTTGTTATTATTTTAAGAATTGCAGTTTCTTTGGAGACAACAAAGTACTTTTTATTCAAAGATGAAAGAGGCATACTCAGACTTTCTATGTTATGTTCATACTTGTTTTGCTTATCACTGTATAACATTCTCATCATGATGGGCTACTTTAAGCTAATCAGTTGGATTTTGGGGTCCTCATTTAGAAGTCAATCTGGAAAAAATATGGCTGTAAAACTTAGATGAACCAATATGCTATTTCTCCTTCCTTGTCTGCCTTTATAGATGTTTTCTCTTTCTCTCTCTCTTCCCTGACTATCTCTCTCAATGATCATTGACAGCTCCCCCATCCCCTCTTTCACTCAGCTTCACTCCACCATGACCAGAGCATCTCTCCTGCTACTATGTGTTGCCCTGGTGCTGCTTTGGCATGTGAATGGAGCCACACTAAGAAACAAAGACAAATGGAAGCCACTCAACAACCCCAGAAACAGAGATCTGGTAAGAACACACCTGGGGCCTGGGTTTCAGGATAGAACTAATGCCTCTTTGGATTTATGCACACAGCATTCTGTTTTCCAGAGCATAGTGGAAAGGGGGCTACCAAGGGTTGAGAAGATTCTCCAACAGGATTGGACCAGAGTTTTACTACCCTAGTGGTTGGCAACCTATTGTTTCTCTGGCCAGTTTACATTTGTTTCTGTAAAGAGAAACAAATTTATATTTAGAAACAATCTTATACACACAGAGTGCATTTCATTTGTAACTGATCTTATATACACATTGACTTTGTAGCCTTGACTTCTAATACATATACAAAACCAAGAGTGTAACAGGGAATTGCTCGTGCATAGCTTAGATTGAACTGATGATAAAACAAATTATCATGTAACTAGCAATTGCCAAGCTCAACTGCAAAAACTGAAAGTTGGCCCTGCATGGGTATCAATTTGCTGGGCATATTTTCAACATATTCTATAAAATAGAATTCAAAAGATGAGTAAACATTCTCTTTAAAAAATATGCCAAATACACTAAACATGTTGACATGACTATTTTGAAATATGGTTTTTCTAAAGTGAATGATGTGAAATATAAAAACATAGGATTAAAATAAACTGAGATAAAAGACCAGCAGGATTTGTTTTCTGGTCACAGCTGCTGACCAAAACAGGATCTGGTCCAGACAGGATAAAGTAAAAACACTGGGTGAAACCAGCAGATGGCGACAAAAGTGGTCCCGACCTGCTCTCATTGCTCATTAGGATATGATACTCCCCTTAGTGCCATGACAGTTTACAAATATCATGGCAATGACCTGGAAGCTACCACTCCTTTCCATGGCAATGACCCAAAAGTTACCACCTCTTTCCAAGAAGGCTCTAAATAACCCCCTTCTATTTGCATTAACCCATCCCTTAATTTGCATATATTCAAAAATGGATAAAAACACAGTTGCTAAGAACCTATATGTTGTCAACTCTGTGTGCACTACCTGTGAGTTAGCCTTGTTCTGGCAGGAGCAGTATCTTTCAATAAAAGATTGTTACCACAGTCAGCCTGCCCTTAAATTCTTTTCTGGGCAAAGCCAAGAACCATCCTGGGCTAAGCCCCAGTTTTGGAGTTTGCCTGTCCTGCCCATGTCGAAGCAAGTAGCACTTTGCACATCTTCTGTGTTCATTTCCTAATGGAAATCTGAAAAGAAACTACGGAAGAAGGCAGTGACAGAGATGTCATCTTAAGGAAGAGGAGATACTGAGCTGCTTATTATGGAGTTCATTTTCATCTTTGACCTTAGTACTCAGATAGTTCACAATGAATCTTTCGACTGTGGTGCTGTTCCATAGTCTTCCTTCAATTTTCACTAAAAATGGTGAATTATTTTGGTTAGGGTTGAAATATCAGAAAGAAGGTACAGGGGAGGGGAGGAGAAGTATTTGAAGCATGTACTTGTATTTCTGGATTTTGATTTCCAACCTCTTGCCTCTTAGATTAGCCTTAAAGTCAATTCAGGGGAAAAACAGAGGGAAAAAAATCACCTTTATTTTTGGTGTTTCATTTATATCTGGCATTGACCATTCTCTTTCTCTCTTTAGTTTTTCAGAAGCCTTCAGGCATATTTCAAGGGCAGAGGTCTTGATCTTGGAACATTTCCAAATCCTTTCCCCACGAATGAGAATCCTAGACCTCTCTCTTTCCAATCAGAACTTACTGCTTCTGCATCTGCAGATTATGAAGAGCAGAAAAACTCCTTTCACAATTATCTCAAAGGCTGAAACTTTCTTCTGAGCTCAGGTAAAAGTTGGCCCTTTATTCGCAGGATCTGTCTAAACATACAAGTCAGCCATAAAGTAGATATTTTGAAAGTATTTATTTGAAAAAATAATTTTATTTCCTCCTAGGAATAAGTGCTCAGTTCTGCTTATACTCCTCACTGTTAAGTATTTGGATTTGGTTAAGGTATTTTACAGTCTTGTTTTAAAAAGAAATGACAGTTTTTATTTTTTAAGCATAGTTATCCAGGCAGAGACATATTAAAATCCTAGAATTATCTCTCTTAATAGGATTATTAAATTAATAACATGGCCACACTCTTACCTGTATCTTTTTCCAGACCAAGTGATATAGCTAAGTTATGTGGAAAATCTACATAAAGACATATGTCAAATTGAGTTGTTGGATTAGATGGGAATTAAAAATTAAAAGAATGGTTCTTTGGGGGATAAAGTATTATGCATATATTTGAACTTGAACTTCCTCACCTATAGAAAGAAAAGGTTTGACTATTAGTAAGAATGGCATTTTTCTCATAGAAAAAACTTAAACATTTATTAAGATTTGAATTTCATTACTTTTTTTGTTGTTGTTGAGGTGGAGCCTCACTCCGTCACCCAGGCTGGGGTGCAATGGTGCGATCTTGGCTCACTGCAACCTCCGCCTCCCGGGTTCAAAGGATTCTCCTGCCTCAGCCTCCTGAGTAGCTGGGATTACAGGTGCCCGCCACCATGCCCAGATAAATTTTATTTTTTTTTAGTAGAGACGGGGTTTCACCACGTTGGCCAGGTTGATCTCGAACCCCTGACCTCGTGATCTGCCCACCTCAGCCTCCCAAAGTGCTCCCAAAGTAATTACAGGCATGAGCCAGCACGCCCAGCGAATTTCGTTACTCTTATTACTTTAGCATTCCTATCAAACCAACACCTACCATTTAAAAAGAACAAATATGATTGGCCAGGCGCGGTGGCTCACGCCTGTAGTCCCAGCACTTTGGGAGGCCAAGGCAGAAGGATCACGGGGTTAGGAAATCGAGACCATCCTGGCTAACATGGTGAAACCCTGTCTGTACTAAAAACACAAAAAATTAGCTGGGCGTAGTGGGGGGTGCCTTTCGTCCCAGCTGCTCAAGAAGCTGAGGCAGGAGAATGGCGTGAACCCGGGAGGCGGAGCTTGCAGTGACTGGACATGGCGCCACTGCACTCCAGCCTGGGCTGAACAGAGCGAGACTCCGTCTCAAAAAAAAAAAAAAAAAAAAAAAAAAAGAACAAGTATGGTGAATTCCAAGCAAATACATTATGATTTCAATCCATTAGCTTTTTGTTTAGCTGAATGATAAAGGGAATGGAATCATAATTAAAATCTTTTCCCCTTCTCCCACAAGTGTAATTTTGAAATTCTGAGGAAGCATGTCTTTCTTGTGCTTCATGGTGTTTGTGAAAGGGTTTTCATTATTAGTTCTTTTAAATGTGATGATTAAAAACTAATGATTGCTATTCTAAAAAGAACGTATAACTTACCATGTGGAATATGCCCTTGGATATTGTTCTAAAATGAGAAAATAAAATAGAAGAAACAGTAAGATGTTAATGAAGTTTTCTCTTTACTATTTTTTACACTTAGGCCTTAGGGTATCAGAGAATAGTTATTAATGGCATACTACCTCTCTTAGTAAAAGGCAGATAAATTGCTTGTAAGCCTCAGTTTGTTCATCTGTAAATTGCAGATACTAGTTTCTACCTTACAGAAAGTATCATAGAAAATATCAAATAAATACTTTCATGTGAGCATGGAATGAGGTAATAATTAAGGGCAGGAAACTGATAAAGCACCCAGTTGGTGGTATTGTAAAAGAACAGGAATTATTCACCTTTATGGAAAAAAAAAAACACACACACAAAGCTTCTGATTTGGAGTATATTTCATAATTATGAGCTCTATGTTCCTTACATCTCTGGTGAGAAAATGATGAAAAAAAGAGTTTTCATTAAAATATGTTGATTTGGGGGTCGTTGGTTTGACTGTGTAGTCTTCAGTTTCTATTTAATTATAACATTGTCTTGTTCTTTCAGGTGTCTGTAGTAAAACTACAGATGAAGCCTCTCATTAGAAAAATTCAACCACTGTTGTAGCTAAACTTTCGTGGAGTTTCTTTCCCCCTCACTTTTATTTTTCAGTTTGTAATGATTTTATTCCACATTTCCATATTTACATATAAATCGCTGGAACTATGATTTCTATGCATATTTATGGAGTGTTTTTCCTGTACAACCATAAATATTGATGTAGAGCAGTGCATGCATTTGTAGGAGTTACAAAAACATCACAAACTGAAAAAAGATTATAATCTAACTTAGATGTTTCTTTAAGCTTGTTTTTAAAACTTGTCTTTTAAGTTTATTATCTTTTATCAACCAATTTTTTTTTTTAAGGGACATGCTCACTTTTAGTATAGTAAAATTCATTATATGTGATAGGGGGTTGGGTTTAAAATTTGTTTTCCTTTCCTAAAAAGAAGACGCATTCCCATGTTCCGCATACACTACTAAAAGACCTCACAGTTTTAGTTTCATAAGAAATGAGGGCAAGTGATAAACAGCCACAATTAAGTTAAAATGGAAGCAAACAACCACAACAAACATGGGATTTTAGAAGTTGTCAATGCCTCTGAAGATGCTCTTTGCCAGAATATTCAGAGGTGGACATTGTGCCACATCAAATATTCTAGCAATGCCCCAGCCCTTGCTCTCATACACAACCTCCTCAGGAAGGAAAAGTAGAAACAGGTGATTTCCTCTCTTTCCAACCAGCCCCTGCCCTCCTTACTCTAGCTCATGCTGAGTTATTCTGATTCCCATATTCACATTTGGAATAGCTGCTTTTCCTGTATCTTTATAGATAGCTGCATCATCTTCTCTATGATTCCTGCAAAAGGAATGTTGCACTAAAATGCAACATTGTCCTAACATTAGTCTGTGCATTTCAAAATAGTTTACTGTGGCTTTTTTTTTTTTGGTGGGTTATTGATATTGTATATGAAGAATAAAATATTTGTGCAAGAACAGATTTTGTGTCTGGTTTAAGATGTTCTATTGTAATTAGTCGTATATGTGTCTGTTTCCCCTGAAGAGTCATGAGGTCTTTGTGAGCAGAGACCATATCTAATTCACCTTTATTTCCCCAGCAGCTAGTACAATGCCTAGCATGGAGCAATTGTTCAATAGATACTTGTTGAATTGAAATAAACATGTGCTATTCATCCAGTCTTCACACAGTAATGGAAGCTCCTTTTAGTTAATGTCAAAACTTTTTTCTTGCCATTTAAAAAATGTAAGTAATTCTTGATGAGCTATTCCTCATAAAAGTATAGCTTATTCATATAAATGGTAGAGTGGTAGGGAGTTTTTCACTTCTGTCGAGTTCCAAGTACTAGTGGTTGGTTTTCCCTTTCTTAATACTGTCCCTGCTCTGAGTGTTAAGACCTCCACAAAGGGAATGCTTACCAGTTTCAGGGCATTGAAAAGGAAGGGCGTCCACATGGGACATTTGGACAACGCACCCAGCCTGCCCTATCATTTTGACAATCAAAACCTCCTGGGGGCTGGGCGTGGTGGCTCATCCCTGTAATCCCAGCACTTTGGGAGGCTGAGGTGGGCAGATTACCTGAGGTCAGGAGTTCGAGACCAGCCTGGCCAACATCGTGAAACCCTGTCTCTTGTAAAAATACAAAAATGAGCTGGGCGTGGTGGCTCACGCCTGTAGTCCCAACTACTCGGGAGTCTGAGCCAGGAGAATCACTTGAACCCGGGAGATGGAGGTTGCGGTGAGCCGAGATCGTGCCACTACACTCCAGTCTGGCAACAGAGCGAGACTCCGTCTCAAACAAACAAATAAACAAACAAAACCCCAAAACCTCCCTACACACATTTCTAAAATTCACTAGGGAAATGATTTTGCTCTTGGCTGAGAACTACTGCCAGAACATAGATGAAGTGTATGTAGTGTTTGTTCCAATGCAAATAAATGTTCTGCAGGTGTTTTAGGCTCTGGAGGAGTCTCTGATACTTCCCTATATAGGTCCTTGGCAATCTCTCAACACTGAAAGGAGCCTCTGCTCCTCTTCAGTGAGTGTCTCATTCCCCAGCACTTGGCCTATTGTCCTCTGTCCCAGATCTAGGGTGGCCAAGAACTGTTAAGAGTGTGAGCTTTTATCCTACTTGCAAGCTACACACTAGCTTTCTACACTTTTATCAAACTTGGCAGATACATGAGACACCTTATGTCTGAGACAACTGACTTTCTTACTGATGGCATGGCAGGTAGTGACATGAGTTTTACATTTACATCAGTTTTCCTTACTCCCCAAGTATCAAGGGGGCCATGTGAATGTGCGTCCAGGTGTATGCTGTGCACAGTGGGTTTGTGTCAAAGCTGAGGAACTCCAACCTTAGGCAATCCCCACTCTTCTAATGGCACTGCTAGCAAATACGCCCAAACTTTGCCCAGAGGGAAACATTTATTACACTGTTCGGAAAAAAAATTTGTTCCCTGCCCCAGAAAGAGACAATAGCTCCACCTTGCAAGGCTGTTTGATTTGAAAACAGCCTTGAAAGGCTAGCCTAGAACAAAGCTATCACAAGCTTTTTCAGAACAATTAATAAAGTCATGGAAAAATAGTCTCCCACATAGGGTCCCAGCCCATCCTGGCTCTTTTCCCTGGCAAGAAGACAGAATGTATGCTTTTAATTACATGGTCATGGTAAAAATTCAATGTTCTGCTTCCTTCAGACTTTCCATTTTGATTTTCAAAACAAGCCTGAATGTATTTTTCCACTTCATCTCCATAACCATTCTACTTCATCCCAAGATAATGTGGATACCTCTGACTCATCAGGAGACAAATCTCTCCCAAGGAAGAGGGGGAAAGAAAAACAGAAAGATTGAAATTTCAAGATATGTTGCAACAGTCTGACTGCTAAAATAACTTTCATGTCATTAAGGTGTTCCATAGCCAAAAAAAAACCACACACACAAAACAAACAAAAAACCCACCCTCCTACCCCTTGTTCACTGCCTCCTGTTCTTCATAATATGAATCTATATCTCCAGAATTGTTATTCCCATATTTCAGATAGCCAACAATAAGACAAGATAGTCTAAGTCATCTGGGTCTTAGGAGAGTATTCTCCTTATAGGTAACCATCCCTCCTCACTTGATTTCTCTTCTTTTCCCCTAGGAGAGTTAGGACTCAAGATTCCTAAATTCCACTTAGACACAGTTCCTCCACTGTCTGGAAAAATTTAGAGGAGAATTTCCCTGTAAGTGGTTTAAGTGGATTGCTTTAACATACTCCACCCTGCTCACCTTCCATATTTTATACGGAGGTAGGACTCTGAGGATCCTTCCTCATGAGAAAGGGAATGACTTCTAGCTGAAAGATATATATATATTTTTTCTCACCTGGCAGTCCTGTCCTTGCAGGTCCTGGCCCCTCATTCTCCCATCCTTCTGCTGTTTATCCTCACCAGGATTGTCATAAAGATGGCTAGGTGATACTCTCCCTGTAACTTGTCTTTAACCTTAGCTTCATATTGAGCTTCATTTCCCTACTCCAGCTCCCTTGCCCCAGGTTCCAAAGGCACTTTCAATTCCATCCAATATAATTCACAAATGTGTTTTCAGCACAAATTATTAGGCCATACAGTAGGGTTTACAATGATGCATCAGTTAGGGCTGTTGTCAAGATGTTTACAGCTAGTGTCTCTAGAATTGGACAAATGGATAATTATAATATAAGGGAAAATATAAATCACAGGAATGTGGAGTTGAAAAACCGTACCATTCAGAGAAGGCAGTATATTATAGTTCCAAGCATGGGACCTGGAGTCAGAAACCAGGGTTCAAATCCTGGCTCTACTACTTATTAGATAGAGACAATAGCATTAGGAATAACACCTACTGAGAAGAAAGGATTATTTTGAGAAATGTATGTAATATGTATAAAAGAGTAGATGGCCTATATATTTATTATACACTAATATGGGCAACAGTGTGTAGTAACCATACCAAGTATTTGGTTCTTTCTGAAAGTTTGCTGTTAGGAAAGGAAGAAAACTTGGGTGGGAGAGGTGGAACAGGAAGCCCAGGTGAACGTATTTACAGACTGAGAAGGTGCTTGAGGAAAGGGAGAGTTTGAGGATTTCGGGTGGGAGCAGGGCGCGGGTGGGGGAGAAATGGCGGGAGTGAAATTTAAAGCATACATTGGGGGAGGGTTTTAGCTTTCTGTGGCAGGGGAGAACTGGAGAGTGAAACATGCACGTGGCAGAGCAAATGGTTCAATTAAGAAAAAAATATCACACAGCAGTGACCAAATTAATTTAAAGAACCTTCAGGAAAGAAAATGGATTGGGAGAGGCTGGGCGCGGTGGCTCACGCCTGTAATCCCAGCACTTTGGGAGGCCAAGGCGGGCGGATCACGAGGTCAGGAAATCGAGACCATCCTGGCTAACACGGTGAAACCCCATCTCTACTAAAAATACAGAAAATTATCCAGGCGTGGTGGCGGGTGCCTGTAGTCCCAGCTTCTCGGGAGGCTGAGGCAGGAAAATCGCTTGAACCCGGGAGACGGAGGTTGCAGTGAGCTGAGATCGCGCCACTGCACTCCAGCCTGGGTGACAGAGCGCGACTCCGTCTTTAAAAAAAAAAAAAAAATGGATTGGGAGAATGAAACTAACACTTAGTGAAGAATTGAGGGAAATCACCCAGGTTAAAGAAAATATATTTAAAGCACTTTTTTTTTTTGAGCTATCTAATACTCCGCACCAAAAGCTGAGCTAGTCGGCCGACCGAGTCTGCAAGGGGCGCGCCTCCTATATATAGGTCCCGGCCTGGCGCGCACGCGGAACCTGAGTGCTGCGGCTGCGGCGCAGACCCGGCGGGTTTCGCGGAAGGACGCCGGTTTCTTGCTTTTGCTGGCCCTGGTGAGGTAGCGTCTGGAAAGCGCTGCTCTTCCGGTTCTCTGTCCCGGTTCCTGGGGTTGCACAGACAGACCCTGCAAACATGTCAGGGTTCAGTCCGGAACTCATCGACTACTTGGAAGGGAAAATCTCCTTCGAGGAGTTCGAACGGCGGAGAGAAGAGAGAAAAACCCGCGAGAAGAAAGTGAGGCGATGCTAGGCCTCGGTGCCCTTCACTCTCGTTGCCCTAATACACTTAGGTGTCGGGGACCCAGACGACCGCTTTCACCGTGATGGGGGCGGGCTGGGAACTTTCAGCAGCTTCTTCCTTATCTTACCGAAACTCCGGTTTTCACCCCTCATCCCTGTGCTAAAATCCTTAAAACGTTTTCGCCCACCGAAAACCTTTCGTCTTGGTGGTAACCTCTTCTTTTTCCCCCTAATACTACGTTTTTATTTCAGGGTAGCTTAACACTGGTAAGTTAAATGGGAGGTGGGGAGAAGAGTTTGGAGTTACAGTCTCAGGTTCCAGTCCTAGCTTTGCCACTGAGTCGTTTTGTGACGGTGGGTGGGTAGCTCACCTCTCCTCTTTAGGCCTCAGTGTCTCCTTTTCTGAACTGGAACGATTGAGCTCCTGTTTTTGAGGAGTCTCCGCTGGTGTGAAGTAATAGTCCATGAAAAAGTATTGTCCGATAAGAAGATAATCTTCACCCATACCTTTTTTTCCCCATACTTAGAAATATCTGAACTTTTTGTATCTTCTTGCTTACTTCAAGTCCAAGAGAAAATAAAAGTAATGAAACGTTTTTAAGTTCGCTGGCAGATTTTTTTTTTTTTTTTTTTTTTTTTTTTTTTCAGACGGAGTTTCGCTCTTGTTGCCCAGGCTGGAGTGCAGTAGCACGATCTCGGCTCACGGCAACTTCGGCCTTCTGGTTTCAAGCCATTCGCCTGCCTCAGCCTCCCGAGTAGCTGGGACTACAGGCGCCTTCTACCACGCCTGGCTAATTTTTGTATTTTTGGTAGAGACGGGGTTTCACCGTGTTGGCCAGGATGGTCTCAAACTCCTGACCACGTGATCCACCCGCCTCGGCTTCCCAAAATGCTGGGATTACTGTGCCTGGCCGGCAGATTATTTAATAATTCATGCGACTAGTATGGACTCATCTTTTCATTTATTTTATTTCAGAGTTTCGCTGTGTCACCCAGGCTGGAGTGCAGTGACGCGATCTCGGCTCACTGCAACTTCCGCCTCCCGGACTCAAGCAATCCTCCTGCCTCAGCCACCAAGTAGCTGGGACCACAGGTGTGAGCCATCACACTCTGCTAATTTTTATATTTTTATTTTTTTTGAGGCGGAGTGTCGCTCTGTCGCCCAGGCTGGAGTGCAGTGGCGCGATCTCGGCTCACTGCAAGCTCCGCCTCCCGGGTTCCCGCCATTCTCCTGCCTATTTTTTGTAGAGACGGGGTTTCTCCACGTTGCTCAGGCGGGTCTCAAACTCCTGAGCTCAGGGGTTCCGCCTGTCTTGGCCTCCCAAAGTAGTTGGATTACAGGCGTGAGCCACCAAGTCATCTTTTTATTTAAAATGTTAGCATACAATGTGTTCATTAATGAGATTATTAAGATTTTTTATTTTTAGTTTTACAAATGACAGATTGAAGGGTAAGATCTAAGTACTTTGAAATGCTTTGACAGTATTCAAACTTAGATTCCACCTACTGTGTATGTGTTCACAGCTCAAGTTTTGTAGGACTAGAAAATGAGGCAAATGTCCTATTCTATAAACTGCCAACCCTTGGTCACAAAATGCCTGAGTGGCAAAGCTAGGACTAGAACCAGATACTCTGTGGCTGGGGAGAGCTAAGTCTGCGTTATTTTTTGGAATCATTAATTAATTTCCAATCACAGAGTCTTCAGGAAAAAGGAAAGTTATCAGCTGAAGAAAATCCCGATGACTCTGAAGTTCCATCGTCATCAGGAATTAACTCTACCAAATCCCAAGACAAAGATGTCAATGAAGGTATGTTAAAATTATGTGCTTCCTGCAATGAATGTTTGGAGTATGTAAGCAGAGTAATTTAGTGAAACACTGTATTTTCATTGCAGTGATTTTCTGTTGATTATGTGGTTTATCAGGAGCAGAATGCTTGACTGTGTAGTAGGTGCCTAATAAATATTTGTTGAGTTATTGAATACCCTGATGGTTATTTTTTGTGAGCTCTGGTGTTGGAAAAGTGTTTTAAATTGACATCAGTATTTGGGTGCTTTTTAAGATTATTTTTTAAATTGGCCCTCTCATTTGGTAACTAAACACTTCCAGACTATAGTCCCTCAAATTATAATGAATTACACTTCGATATAAAGTGACTTCCAAACCACTGCCTTAGTTACAGGGAGAAAAGATAGAAATGTTAGTGTGGAAGGCATGTTGGTTGCCCTCATGGAACTTCACACACAGCACAGTGTCTTGGTAGGCTACGTCATTCTAGCATCCAGTCCTTAGCTTTGCATGTCCAGGTATTAAATTCGGTTAGTGCACCCAGAGTAATTAAACTCATTGTAGCCTAATTAACTAGTAAGCAAATTTATTAATTTTCAGTGATTGATACCCTTTTCCAGGGATCAGAATGCTGATAATATCTCACGGTATCCATTTACTACCATATCAAGTTAACTGGGATGCTAAACTGTCCATTAGAATGTAGCTTCATGTATAGGGTCTGATAACAGCTGTCTAGTTCTATGGTTTAGAAATACAGTTTGGTTCTTTTCCCTCGAAACAAGCATTCACACAGAGAACAGACAGTCATAGCATGGGCAGAAGACAAACAAGATTTGTTCTTATCTTCCTGGACCAAGTGGGGAAAAAGGGGGAAAGAGGAGGGAAAACTGGGGGTTACGATTTCTTATTCTGCCAGGAAAGTGGGGTGGAAAAGGCAGCTGATAAAAAGGAACGAGAGCATGTCCTTTGCAGGGACATGGATGGCATCGGAAGCCGTTATCCTCAGCAAACCAACACAGGAACAGAAGACCAAATACCGCATGTTCTCACTTACAAGTGGGAGCTGAATGATGAGAACACAGGGACAAAAGGGGGTGAGGAAACAACAGAAACTGGGGCCTTTCGGAGTAGGGGTGTTGCGGGAGGGAGAGCATCAGGAAGAACAGCTGATAGATGCTGGGCTTAATATCTAGGTGATGGGATGATCTGTGCAGCAAACCACCATGGTACATGTTTACCTATGTAACAAACCTGCACATCCTGCACATGTACCCCTGAATTTAAAAGATGAAGAAAAAAAGGCAGCTGACTGAAGTTGTTCTCCTTCCTTATCTGCTGAGGGGAGGAGCTGCTCTTCTGTCCTCAGGTGTTTGAGTGGCTACTATAGCAGCAGGCACAAGTGGGTGGGTGCCTGTCAGTCCTGTTTAAAGCTGCTCCCAAAAGCTAGCCATCAGGCCCTAAAAAAGGAGTGAACTGAGTCCAATTCAGGCTCACCATGAGCAGTCAGGCCCACAAGGACTGGCTGGCTTCAGCTCAGATAATCTCATCCATCCTTTTAAGATGTGAAGCTCCTAATTTCCTAGTAAGGAATTGTCCCAGGACTCTACCAAGACTCTTGAGTATGAGCGTGTATTCAGAGCAGAAGGGGTCAGTTTTGAACAAGCTTTGGCAGTCAGGTAATTGAAATATATGGCCACTAATCGTTCCTTTTCCCCTGGACAGTACTAAATACACCACTAAATTATTGCTCTTCACACTGTTCTTACACACTGTGAAGATAGGATCTTCTTTTAATTTCATTTTCAATTCATTTGCTGATATATTAAACTATAATTTTTATATATTGACTTTGTGTTCAGCAACCTTGCTAAATTAATTTATTCTTACAGTTTGTATGTAGATTTGTTTTGGGTCTTCTATGTATATAATCATGTCATCTGTGACCTGATAATTTTATTTTTTCCTTGCCTGTTTTTTTTTTTGAGATGGAGTCTCGCCCTGTCGCCCAGGCTAGAGTGCAGTGGCGCCATGTCCACTCACTGCAAGCTCCGCCTCCCGGGTTCATGCCATTCTCCTGCCTCAGTCTCCCGAGTAGCTGGGACTACAGGCGCCCGCCACGATGCCCGGCTAATTTTTTGTATTATTAGTAGAGACGGGGTTTCACCGTGTTAGCCAGGATGGTCTCAATCTCCTGACCTCGTGATCCGCCCGCCTCAGCCTCCCAAAGTGCTAGGACTATAGGCGTGAGTCACCGCGCCCGGCTTTCCTTGCCATCTTTATGCCTTTTGTTTCTTATTACATTGGCTAGGACCTCCAGTAAAATGTTGAATGGAAGTGGTGGTAGTAGGCAACTTTGTCTCATTCTTAGTAACGTTCAGTAATTCACCGTTAGCTGTGTTTGTGGAAAATTTTTGTAGATACTCTTCATGAAATGAAAGATACTCCCTTTCATTTTTAGTTGACTAAGAATTTTTATTAGGAATGGGTATTGGATTTTATCAAATGCTTCTTTCTATCAGAATGGATCATACGATTGCTCTTTTGTTCCTCTGATAAATTTTACATGTTTCTTTTCATCTTTATTTTGAATGTTCAGATTTCTTGAATATGATCCTTATGACTTCAAAATAATATTTATTACTCAGAACATGCAGCTTTTAAAATCTGTTCTTCATTAAACATTGATTATCTCATTTAGACATCATCTTTGGCATTTGAAGCATTTCACATAAGTAAGTATGCATAAGAGTTTTTGAACACAGGCTGGGTGCAGTGGTTCACGCCTATAATCCCAGCACTTTGGGAGGCCGAGATGGGTGGATCACTTGAGGCCAGGAGTTCAAGACCAACCTGACCAACATGGCGAAACCCCGTCTCTACTAAAAATACAAAAATTAGCTGGGTGTGTTGGCACACGCCTGTAGTCCCAGCTACTTCGGAGGCCGAGATGGATTGCTTGAACACAGAAGGCAGAGGCTGCAGTGACCTGAGATGGCACCACTGCACTCCAGCCTGGGCGACAGAGCAAGACTATGTCTCCAAAAAAAAAAAACAAAAACAAAAATTAGCTGGATGTGGTGGCTCATGCCTGTAGTCCCAGCTATTCGGGAGGCTGAGGCATGAGAATCACTTGAACCCTGAAGGTGGAGGCTGCAGTGAGCTGGGATCGTGCCACTGCACTCCAGCCTGGGCAACAGAGTGAGACCCCATCTCAAAAAAAAAAAAAAAAAGGTTTTTGACTGGGCGCGGTGGCTCACGCCTGTAATCCCAGCACTTTGGGAGGCCAAGGCAGGTGGATCACCTGAGGTCGAGAGTTTGAGACCAGCCTGACCAGCATGGAGAAACCCCGTCTCTACTAAAAATACAAAATTAGCCAGGTGTGGTGGCACATTCCTGTAATCCCAGCTACCCTGGGAGGCTGAAGCAGGAGAATTGCTTGAACCTGGGAGGTGGAGGTTGTGGTGAGCCGAGATTGCGCCATTGTACTCCAGCCTGGGCAACAAGAGTGAAACTTCATCTCAAAGAAAATATGTATTTTTTGAACATATTTATATCTCTATATATATACTTAAAATTTTAACTATTTTGTTGGAACTTTTCCAGAAATATGTTACATGTCTATCTTTGTGTTTTCTGTTGCTTATAACAGAATACTTGAAACTGGGTAATTTATAAGGAAAAATAATTTATTTCTTATAGTTAGGGAGGCTGAGAGGTCCCAGGCAGAGGAACCACATCTGTTGAGGACCTTTGTGGAGACTCTCCAGAGTCCCAAGACGATATGGGGTATCACATGGTGAGGGAGCTGAGCATGCTAGCTCAGGTCTCTCTTCCTCTTCTTGTAAAGCCACCAGTCCCACTCCCGTGATAACCCATTAAATCATGAATGGATTAATCCATTCATGAGAGCGGAGCCCCATGACCCAGTCCCTCTTAAAGGCCCCCTCTTAAAGATGTCTCAGTATTGGCACATTGGGGATTAAATTTCAATATGAGACTTGGAGGGGACAGATATTCAAACCATAGCAATGCCTCTGCTTTAACAGAAAATTGGCCTCTGAATTTAACTTTTTCTTGATCATTCAAAGTCATCATTATTGACACTCAAAAATCATTATATTATACTATGGTGGTATCCTGAGATACAAATGAACTATGTCATATATTTTATTCCTGAAATAATAAAGCTATTTTAATACTAATAATATCATTTAATGGGTGTTTACTATATGCTAGGCATTCATAGTGTATATGTACACAGACACACTCACACTCATTTTGTCCTCAGAGTAGCCCTATAAATTATTATTAACCCTTTTTGCAAAAAGAAACTGAGGTATAGAGGAGCTTCAGTAATTTCCCCTAGGTTACACAGCTAGTGATAGATGGAGATAAAGTTTGGAACCAGGCAGCTTGGCTCTAGAGCCCTCACTTTCAACCACTATGCTATACCACCAGGGCTCCATACTGCTAGTCTTGTTTAGTTCTTAGGTCTATGTCTTATAATTCTTCTATTTTTTTTCCTCTCTATTATTGTATGTGCTTCTGATTTTTTGGTTAATTTTGCCTATAAATCTGGATGAGGCCTAAAGGATGAGTCAGCTATTCCTGTAGAATAAAATACATGGCTTTGTGATAACTTTCTTCTTTGGTTTGGTTTTTGAGGGTGTTCATTTACTATTTTTTACTTTCAAATTTGGTGTTCTTGGGGTAAAAATTTATACTTAGAAAGTACTTGTTTTTCACAGAGAATTCTGCAGCTTCCTCCCCTTCCCCCATCATCAATGTCTCTTTTCTCAGGAGAAACATCAGATGGAGTGAGTAAGTCAGTTCACAAGGTCTTTGCTTCCATGCTTGGAGAGAATGAAGATGATGAGGAGGAAGAGGAAGAAGAGGAGGAGGAGGAGGAAGAAACACCTGAGCAACCCACTGCTGGCGATGTATTTGTATTGGAGATGGTTCTCAATCGTGAAACCAAGAAAATGATGAAAGTAAATTGTTACTTATTTTGGTATTTATAAACAATGAAGAAAGTGACATAGTAATTGAAAAAGAAGTCTGTAAGTTAGACCTGGGAAACAATTCAAACTATATGAAAGGAAATACTATGACACAACTGTTATTTGTTTATTATGTTTCCTATTAGATAATGTTTATGTAGCCCAGCTGCTCTGGAGGCTGAGGTAGGAGGAGCACCTGAGCTTGGGGAAGTCAAGGCTGCAGCCTAGGTGTCAGAACGAGACCCTGTCTCAAAAAAATAAATACAATACAATAAATAAAGTCAAAGCAAAGTGGCTCATTTAAACCAATCGGGCCATTTATTTTCTAAGAGATGCTAGAAAGGTGGAATCTAACAGACACACAAACACAACCTTAATTATTGCATGTGTGAAAATGGACTGCGGGTTTGCTATTTAAAGGTCCATACTGGTGAGGCACAGTGGCTCATGCCTGTAATGGCAGCAGTTCAGGAGGCTGAGACAGGAGGATTGCTTGAGCCAAGGAAGTTTAAGATCAGCCTGGGCAACATAGTGAGGCTCTGTCTCTACAAGAAACTTTTTAAAAAACTAGCTAGGTGTTGTAGTGCACTCCTGTGGTCCTAGCTACCCTGGAGGTTGAGGTGGGAGGATGCTTGAGCCCGGGAAATCGAGGTTGCAGTGAGCTGAGATCACTCCACTGCACTGCAGCCTGGGCAACAGAGTGAGACTCTGTCTTAAAACATATGTCCATGTCCATACTATAACTTGATACTTTTTTAAACAAGTTCATTTTGAGTGGATAAATTTGAAAGAAAGGGGATCTTCAGTAGATTACATCATAATCCTGGAATATAAATCCATTTTGCAGCATCCAGCTCTATATTTGTTATTATTCTAATTAGTAATTTAGTAACTCCTGACCCTTTTTTTTCTGCAATTGAGTTTTAGACTTTTTTTTTTTTAATGAGACAGTCTTGAGCTGTCACCCAGGCTGGAATGCAGTGGCGTGATCTTGGCTCACTGTAACCTCTGCCTCCCAGGTTCAAGTGATTCTCATGCCTCAGCCTCCCAAGTAGCTGAAATTATGGGTGTGCGCCACCATGCCTGGCTAATTTTTTTGTATTTTCAGTAGAGATGGGTTTCATTATGTTGGCCAGGCTGGTCTTGAACTCCTGGCCTCAAGTGATCCACCTGCTTCAGCCTCCCAAAGTGCTGGGATTACAAGAATGGCCAATTTTGACTGTATAAATTTTAATGTTAAAGAGTCAATTGGAATTGCAACTATTTAGTTCTGAGTTTCGAAAACTGAAAATTTTTAAAGGGAAATTTCAGTTTTATTATATTCTATTTTTATTAATATGGTTGGAATTAATTTTTAAAATATAGTGAAATCTAAGACTTCACTATATTTTAATCTAAATGTCATTTTTCTTCCATACAGGAGAAAAGACCTCGGAGTAAACTTCCCAGAGCTCTGAGAGGTCTCATGGGTGAAGCCAACATTCGTTTTGCTCGAGGAGAACGTGAAGAAGCGATATTGATGTGCATGGAAATCATAAGACAAGGTGTTTTCTGTGGGGATTTTATTAATAATAGCAGTTTAATAGTCTAACTTAAAACAAATGGGGTAGTACTTCACAGTACTATTTGGAAAATATGTTCAGAAGCTTAAGGGTGATTGTGGTAATGGTAATTGCCACTTTTCACAAGAAAATGAAAATCTCAGAGTATGATTCAATGAGATGTCCTTAATATTTGTTGAATTTCACAGTTATCTTTTTTTTTTTTTTTTTTTTAAATGTTTCAGTTGAAGGATTTAGACTTTTGAATTGTCAGTATGGGAAATACATTATATTAAAACCACTTGAAGAGCTTTCTTTTTTCCTTTTGTTTTCTAGATCATGCAGTACTAGATTATGTTATCTATTTTTTGGTAAAAGACAGTTTAAACTTGTCATCTTATCTCTCAATTAAATGATGCGTCTTGGGCATATTGAATGATACCTTCAGTGTGGTTTTTTTTTTTTTAACTAATTACTTATATTTATTGTTTTCTTTCCTTGATGTGTTGCCAAATTGTGCTCTGCAGAGTTGTTTGGATAGCTGTAATACAGTAAACTTTCATCTTTTCAATAGTTTGGCATTTCTTTTTGGTTAGACTAGGGTCCTTTTAAAAGTCTTACTATAGGCCGGGCGCGGTGGCTCAGGCCTGTAATCCCAGCACTTTGGGAGGCCGAGACGGGTAGATCACGAGGTCAGGAGATCAAGACCATCCTGGCTAACACGATGAAACCCCATCTCTACTAAAAAATACAAAAAAACTAGCCGGGCGAGGTGGCGGGCGCCTGTAGTCCCAGCTACTCAGGAGGCTGAGGCAGGAGAATGGCGTAAACCCGGGAGGTGGAGCTTGCAGTGAGCTGAGATCCGGCCACTGCACCCCAGCCTGGGCGACAGAGCAAGACTCCGTCTCAAAAAAAAAAAAAAAAAAAGTCTTATTATAATTTCCCGGATTATTCATTAGGGTAATTTGAGGCTACTGCCTAAGATTAAACAGACTTTTTCCTTTAGTATATTTCATTTGGTTCCTACTTTCCAGTATTATTTGTTCCCTTTATTTTAGTTTATAGTTGTTTTTGACAAAAATCGTTGACTTTAATACCTCATAATCTTTGAATTTTGTTTCAGAAACAGTATTTCAGAAATGTAGATTAGCCAGTCACTTTGATATCCATTTAGCTGCTGCTTAGGGATCATCTGTTCATTCATACCATACTCCTTGGTGTGGGAGCTAAATCATGAAGATTCAGCCCCACTGATGTGGCTGGTGTTTATTGGGATGAACTTGCTGATACCGAGCCATGTTTATCCTGAACAAAGGGGAATTTTCATGAGGAAGATGTGGTAGAGATTAGGATTTTCATGAAATTATACCTTGCTTAGAGAAAGCAATGCTTTAAAAATGCTAAAAATGTATGAAAATAAAGCAGATATAATCTAGCATTTATTTTAACTTAAGCAGTTTGTATAATTCTGCTAGAGTGATTTGAAGAGTTTAGGTATTTAAAAAAAGACACACAGTTTGAACCATGGGATTGACATCAACTCAAGCCTCTTCTCTCAGCCAATGGAATTTATTTTTTTAATTTGTTATAGCTCCTCTGGCTTATGAGCCATTCTCTACTCTTGCCATGATATATGAGGACCAAGGTGACATGGAAAAATCATTGCAGTTTGAGTTGATTGCTGCGCATTTAAATCCCAGTGACACAGAAGAATGGGTTAGACTGGCAGAAATGTCTCTGGAACAAGACAATATTAAACAGGCTATTTTTTGCTATACAAAAGGTAATTGAAATTTTTTTTTTTCACTTTTATAAGATGTTACATAGTAGGTTTTTTGATCATTGTATTTGCTACTCTGGAGTGTTATTTTGGCTTAGATAAATTTGTTTCTATTGTCTGTTATTCTAGAGGTAGGTATTTGGGGTTCCTCTGTTCTCATGTTTGTCAGGGACTTTTTGAGTGTTGTGAGATAATACAACACAAAAGTTGGTAGATGAATAGTACCTTCAGTTTCCCACTGAGATCAGTGTTGGTTCTAAGCTGTTCCTTGAGGATTAACATCAGACTAGATTGACCACAGTAAGAAGAAGATTACTGTTGAGATTCAGATTCTATCTGGTCTTACATCAAACCTAGTCAAGAGTTCCTATGAAAATACATTTATTCAGAATAACTCCTTTTGTTTCATTGATGAATTAGTTTGCTTATTAAATTTTCTGAGATGATGATGGATCACACCCAGGTACCATGCACCCCTTTTTGTGGTAAATAATTTGTATTTCTTTCTTTTTAGCTCTTAAATATGAACCTACTAATGTCCGTTATCTGTGGGAGCGATCAAGCCTTTACGAACAGATGGGTGATCATAAAATGGCCATGGATGGTTATAGGCGTATTTTAAACCTTTTGTCTCCATCTGATGGCGAACGTTTTATGCAGCTGGCTAGAGATATGGCAAAGTAAGTTTGGAGTGAAACATATCTAGTTGCTGCTGTTAATCTTATTTTGCAAATCAAAGCATATATTTGGAATAGAATGTACTTTTCATTGAAGTTCAAGAAGTGTTTTGCCTTATGTATTTTATTGTTTTGTTTTTTGAGACAGGATCTTGCTCTGTCACCCAGGCTGGAGTATAATGTCGTGTTTATAGTTCACTGCAACCGTGAACTTCTGAGCTCAAGTGATCCTGTCAGCCAGCCTCCTGAGTAGCTGGGACTACAGGTGCACGCCACCACACCCGGCTAATTTTTAATTTTTTTTCTGCAGAGACAAGGTCTTGCTGTGTTGTTCAGGCTGGTCTCGAACTCCTGACCTCAAGCATTTCTTCTTCTTTGGCCTCCCTAAGTGCTAGGATTACACGTACGAGCCACCATGCCCAGCCCTGTATTTTAGGTTGTACCGAATTTTCAGTACTTTTCTGTTTCCAAGTCAACTGTGTCATTGCTTAGAAAAATTGTGTATATAAGGTTACATTTCAAGTGCTCAGAGGTTTAAAAATGGGACACGTCCTAAAAGGATGAGTAGGTTCTCAGGTTTCCAAACTTAGTCGAAATTGTGTATATTTGCAATAATTAAAAAAGTGTTTTTTATTGCAGATTTGCTAATGAAATGTTAATGGTTTGGGATCTTCTATTATTTTATCTTGAGCCAGTATATATTTTAAGACTATAAAAATTCTCTTTTACAGTTGGCAGATTATTGACTGTGATATATATTTTATTCTAAAATATACCCTACTGCATTTACTTCTCTGGTATGCTGCACAGCAAAACAAAGTAGGAAACATTTTTGCTGAGTAATGCCTTGTGATATGCTTTCTATTCTAGGGATATCAGATGATATTTTGTTCTAGGAGTAACCATCTCCATCAGGGTACATTAGGGGTGACCCTATTAATTCCACAGCCTTTATCACAATGATGCTTAGCTGTGAAACTGTCCCTTACCCTCCCAGGGATGGGTTGCATAGGACTACTAGAAAACATTTCTAGGAATTTTGCTGAGGCAAGGCAACCCTAAGTTGATCCCTGATGGAATACCATGAGCACTGAGGGTCTTCTCAGGTTATTTGCTGTTAGTTAAATCTGTAGCTGTCACAGTGGTTAGTCCAGTAGCCTTTAACTTTGTGAAATGTTAGGTGGCCTATGATAGTAAATTGGTTTTCCACGTCTATTAGATATAATACTTTTTTGGGAAAGAGTGATGATTGTCAGTTCTGCCACTGCCATTGAGGTCTTTCCTACATGGAATTCTATCACTGTAACTTCTGTTTAGGCTTTCCCTTTGGTCCCTACTTTCCCTCCAGAAATATTATTGAATATATCTTTGGCACTAGGTACTGTACAGGAAACCAGGGTATCTACTGTTGAGCAAGGTTTAAAAATCCCCTGTTCTTGTATAGCTTACATTTCAGTGAGAGAGAGAGGCAATAAATAAACAGCTAAATATGTAGTACATCAGATGTTGATAAGTGATATGAAGAAAAATAAAGCAGGAAAAAGGGATAGGAATTTGATGTTTGGGGTGGGGGTGTGTTATTTTTAGATAGAGTGATTAGAGAAGGACTTAATTCTCTGTTTTATGGTCCTACTGACTAAAGGTGCATTGAAGTAGGTACGAGAACAGATATTCAGGGAAGGAGTATCACAGGTAAAAGAAATAGCAAGTACAAAGTATGGTTAGGGAAGCTGAAGAATTAAGGGGAGCAGTGCAGAGAGATATCAGAAGAATAGATCTTTAGCCCTTTTGGGCTATTGTAAGGGCTTTGGCTTTTATTCTGAATGAGTTTGGAAGTCACTGGAGGGTTCTGAGTAGAAAAGTGACATAGTCTGACTTAAATTTTAAGTGCATCAATTCTGGCTGCTCTTTTGAGAACAGATTGAATAGTGGAAGGGCAGAAGCATGGAGACCAGTTAGGAAATTATTATAGTGATACATAGAAGGGAAAATGGTAACGTGGACCAGGATGTAAGCAGCAGGAACTGGTACGAAGTAATCAGATTATGTATGTATTTTGAAGGCTGAGCTCTCAAGATTTTCTGATGTATTGAATATGAGGGGTGGGTTGGGGAGGTGGACAGGGTGTAGAGGACTGAACCCTAAGGCACTTCAATGTTTACAAGTCAGGAAGAAGAAACAGCTGGGAGACTAAAAGGAAATGGCCAATGAAGTAGGAGGAAACTGAGAACAGCATGATGTTCTAGAATTTAATTGAAGAAAGCACTTCAAGGAGGAGGGATGATCATCTGTGTGAGATACTGCAAATAGATCACATAAAATGAGCATTGAGAATGGACAGATTTAGCAACAAGGAGATTAGAAATATTGGCAGAATGGGGAGAGGAAAAATTGATTGGATTAGGTTAAAAAGAGAATGGTAGGTAGATGTGCTGGAAATATGTGGGATGTTCTGATTTAATTCTCTTTTCTTGGTAAAAATATCAAGCAAGGCCATCAACTGAGAGTAGGACTGGGAGACTGCTGGCAGTTTGAAGAGAGAGAGAAGATGTCAATAGTTGTCTAGGACATTACTGCCCCACAGACGGGCAGTATTTGCATCACCTGGAAGCTTGTCAGAAATGCAGGATCTAGGCCTGCCCCAGCTTTACTGGATCTGAATATGCATTTTTACAAGATAGCCAGTTGATCCATATGCACATTCAAGTTTGAGAAGTACTGAATAGGTAACTAGTAATACTGCTCATCAGTACCATGGACCTGCTTGAGGCTATTGGTCATCAATTTAGAGTGAGACCAGTCGACATGGTCAGCTGGGCAGGTGGTGGTGAAGAGTAGATATAGTTGTATTTTAACCAGGCTTGGGGTGTTATTGAATGATTTTGATCAAGGGAGAGCAGGGCAAGAGGACTGAGGATGTATGCAAAGGAATAATTATAATGTTGGGCCTTGGAGAAGGAAGAAAGTGAGCCTAGGCAGGGTGTAGGCGATGGTGAAAAAGTGGTAGGACCTATGCTTTGTAGATCTGTCGAGGTAGAAGGGTTGGTATTGGATTACAAGAGGGAATGAGCTGGAATGATAGGAGGTAGCTTTTGGAGAGTGAGATGCTTGAAATTATAACACTGTTACTGACACTGCACATTTTTTCTGGATCAGTTTTGATTATGATTTTAAGAAAATATACATTCCTCTCAAATTCTAAGAAAATGAAAATCACTGTTCATTGTTAGATAGCCTAAGCAAAGAAATGAGTTTTATAATTGGAATTAAGTAAATATTCATCCATTTTGCCACTTTTTTTTTAGGAGTTACTATGAAGCCAATGATGTTACTTCTGCTATTAACATAATTGATGAAGCTTTCTCAAAACACCAGGGCCTAGTCTCTATGGAAGATGTTAACATAGCAGCTGAACTATATATTTCTAACAAACAGTATGACAAAGCTTTGGAGGTAGGAATGCTTATGTGTTTCTCTGTTAGGTTTTGAACGTGTTTCTGTGTTCTAGAAATTCTTAAAAATTGGCAGTTCTTCGTTTTAGTTATATATTAAATTATGTATATATTTAAACTCCATATGGAAACAAGTGATTTCTAGATTCTATAGCAATTCAGTATGAAATATGAAGTATAGTTACATAATAAAAAATATTGCCATTATCACAGGTGCTAAGTATGTCTGTACTTCAGGGTAGTAGGACTCAACAGTCAGATGAATTGCTGTGATTTGGTTCTTAAGCTGGTTGGGGGAAAGTAGGTTGGTTTGATATAGAGAAGTTATATTCATTGAGTTTGCATTAGTTAATAGGATATTAAAATGTTAATGTGTCACAGGGTTTCTCATTTTTAAAAGACTTAGTTTCTTTTTATAGCCCATCTTTATATTCAGGATTATTTGAAATAACTGTACAAATCTTCGCATCATGAAAAGGTTTTTCATACATAACTATTTCCTTTCTTCTGTCCCATTCTTTTAGGTAATTACAGATTTTTCTGGAATTGTGCTGGAAAAAAAAACTTCAGAAGACGGCACCTCAGAAGAGAATAAAGGTTGTAGTTTCCTCTGCTTAGGAAAGTGTGTATAATCCTCTCTTGGTCATAAGGTGGCGTTTTATGGTGAAAATTTATTTCATACTGTGGTGAGTTGATAGTTAATGTTCTCATAATAAGTTTTCCCAAGAAGAATTTTTTTCTGAGAGATTTCATATCTTGTGAGTATTGACTTGCAAGTAATCTTTAAAAAAATTTGTTTTGAGTCCCTTTTATTTCTTAGTATGTCCATTTGAACATGGCATTTTTCATTGACAGTCCTTTTCATTCATTTTTATAGGAAAGAAAACAAATTACTAAAGTTTATCAAAAACCTTTAACACTGAAGCAATTTGATTTTCAAATAGGACCTAAAATGCTCTTATTTAAAACATTCTGCTTTAAGCTTAAGCATTCATATAATAATTAGAAGCTAATATGATTACCCTACATTGTTAGAAAACTCAAATGTGTAATTAATGATTGGGTTAGAAAGTTATACCTAAGTGTGGCTTGCAGAGTCTCTTTGTACCATACTCATTAACTTACTCTGTAAAAATACTAACATTCAAGACCCTATATCAAGTTGTAGCAAAACTGATCTCTATGAGCAGAATATATAACCCGGCTCTTGTAAGAGAATTACTGGATAGTACCTTCAACCCCTACCCTGTGAGGATTTTGATGGAATCTGCGGAAGGGGCAAGTGAGCTGGTACTGAGTCCTGCCTGGTTCAAAACAGCTCTCTCCCTGGCCTGTCATGCCTAAAAATCCATCATTATGTAATCCTTTGCGTTAAGGCATAATTATTCAAAAACAAAAACTGTTATTTAAAATATGATCCATCCTAATGGCGAGTAGTAATTCACTTACACAAGCCAGTCTGTGCTAATTCATAGAGAGTAAGGCCCAAGGTGAGATGTGAGACAGATAAATGTTAAAGTGGACAGTTGTTGGGGAAGGGAAACCCAGTTCAATAAGTTTCTTGTAAGGGACTGCTGGGTGTGTGGAGAATACGCAGATGAGTATGACATTTCCTGTTCTCAAGGAAATGGAGGGGTGAAGAGGCGTTCAGATGAAGTGCATACAGTTTAAGAGTTGTGTGATAATTTCTGTAGCAAAGTTGATGTTATGGAAAAATAGAGGGCAGTGTACAAGGATCAGAAGATGTTTATAGAGGCCCAGTTTAAGCAGATACCCATGGAGAGTGTGATCCAGACTGAGTCACAGGGTGTAGGAGCTCTGCTTGGAAGAGCAGGACCAGATCGCAGTCTGTGGTTGGGGCTGTTGATCATCAGGGTGGTGTGAATGAGTAGAATAAGGAGTAGAAATTGCAGATGGAAGCATGGATTAGGGCACGCGAAGGAGGCTTTGCCAGTTTCGATACTTTATTAGGACCTGGCCTAGGTACAAGCCAAGGCCCAATTAAGTTATTATTTTACTGCCATAATTTCTGTTTAAGATTTTTCTTAATTGTGTTAAAAATCTGTGCTTTGTTTTGAAAAATATTAGAGAAATATCAAGTTCTGTTCAAGTTTTAACTGTTGCTATAATCATTTTGTTGTTTAATATATTTTACTTTCCTCCCTCCCTTCCTTCCTTCCTGGTACATATTAACATAAATCAACAACAAGTTAGAGTTTAAGTAGTGGCTTCTTTGTTTTTTAGTATGTAAAATAATGGTGCATCTGAAATCTGGCAGCTTAGAGTTGATGAAATAACTTTAAAGAAAAAGATATGTCCAGAAGACTAGGAAATTAAAACAAATCCCCCAAAGTGAGCAAAGGTAGTTTTTTAGTATGCATTTTTAAAAAGGAGACTGTTTATTGGTAGATTATGCATTTTCTGTTGATGGTCACATTTTTAAATTCTTCTAAATATGAAAGACCTAATGGGAGTTCTGGAAAACAAAGTATCAGTGACACAAAGACAAGCTTTTTAAAAGATGGTGTTGTTAAATGTTAGTTAATAATATATAAGCTGTAGGGGCTATAAATATATATACTGCTTTCCTTAGCATTGTCAAATTGCCATTAAAGTGTCTAAATACTTACTCTCGATCTCCATACTTACCTGTTTGAACTGTTAACAGTTTGTGTACCTGCACAGGTCCCAGATTATAGTTTGAGTAGCACTGCCCTGTAGCATTATTAAGTGACCTTCTTACCTTTTTAAATATAGTTGGTCTGAATTCTACATTGTCTCATATTGAGATTGTGACACCTGTTTTTTTTGTTTGCACCTGCCTGCTATACCTTTGTCCTTTCATTTTCAGCTTTCTTGAATCACTTGATTTTAGGCACACATCTTGTATTCAACATAAGGTTGAGTTTTACTTTCTGATTTGATATGAAAGCAGGGTTTAGACTTATGCATCTATATACACTATATCTTTAAGGCCTATGCTGAGATTTAAAGTATTTCATATACTTTTCTTGCTGAAAGTTAAAACACGTAAATATATTTTATTGAACAGTATCTTAGTCTGTTTGGACTTCTATAACAAAAGACCTTAGACTGGGTAATGTATAAACAACAGAAATTTATTGCTCACAGTCCTGGAGATTGGGAAGCCCAAGGCACCAGCAGATTTAGTGTCTGGTGAGGGCCCTTTTCTCATAGATGGTGCCTTCTTGCTGTGTCCTCACGTGGCAAACGGGACAAACAAGCTTCTTCAGACCTCTTTTACAAGGGCACTAATCCCACCCACATAGTCACCTCCCAAAAACCCACCTCTTAATAACTTCACCTTGGGGGTTAGGTTTCAACATAGGTATTTTGGTGGGACACCAGCATTTCAGACTGTTAGCAAACAGCATTTCTAGAAAGAAAATCAAAGTGATACAGTTGGAATATAGAACCCATACATGATAAAGATAGAATCCCATTTTAGTAAAGTCAAAGGCTCATTAAAATGACTGCATTGTGTTTAGTCCTTAGACAGGTGACCTTAGCTACTGTCTACAGAAGAAATATGTTGTGGATACAGCCTTGAGTCAGACATGGTTCTTGTCCTCATGGAGCTCAGGGCTTAGTGTGAGTAAATTTACATGGTAGGTAAATTCTGCTCTCTCATTCAGCAGACTAAATATCTCAACTGGATTGCTGATACCAGTTATTGTCCTAGAACTCAGTGATAAAAACAGTCTCTTAATTAAACTTGTCCAAATCCTCCTATAACTTGGCAATTTTAGGCAATCTATATTGCCTCCCCTCAGTGTTCATGAGAGATTGGCTCCAGGACACCCCTCATACCAAAATCCTTGGATACTCAAATTCCTTATATAAAATTGTGTATTATTTGCATATAACCTATGTATCTTCTTCTGTATACTTTAAATCATCTCTAGATTACTTATTAATGGCAAAAACCACAATTACTTTTGCACCAACCTAATACTTAATACAATGTAAATGCTATGTAAATAGCTGTTACACTATATTGCTTTTTAAGTTTGTATTATTTAATGATATATATATATACATTATATGTATACACATATATATTATATATATATTTTTTTCCCTTAACATTTTTGATCTGCAGTTGGTTGAATCTGCATATGTGGAACCTGAAGATATGGAAGACTGGCTGTACTATAATTTATATGACAAGTTCTGTAAAACAGATACAGTTATTTAATTCTTGAAGTAATTTTTTTATTTCACCACTTACGCTACATCTGTAATGTCCTTTATACTTCAGGTTTTTCTGAAGCAAAAACATGTAAACTTATTTGGAATTTATTAGACTTTGCAAAATACTTTAAATGTGGATAAAAATTCCTTTAATTTCCCAGGGCTTTAAAAATTATTTTGCTGTAATGAGGTTTTAGAAAATAACACAGTATTATTTTATCCTTTTCTTAGCCTGTTTCTAGTGAACACTAAAAACAGACTTTTCAATTCAAGAAAAAAAAAAGAGAGGGTTCATATATCCTCATTATTTTTGTCATTTTAGTTCTCTGTAGTTTAGTAGAAGGTGTGAAAGTAAGTTTCACATAAGTACATAAGGTGTTAGAAATAGAATAGGAAGCATACTTGCTACCAAAGGACAGACTCAGAGAGATATAAGAACTTAGTAGAGTTGACCACACTAAGAATTGACTGTAGAATCGTTTGCTTTGATTGAAATAAATGAGGCCTTACATAGAAGATACACATCTTAAGCTTGCATATAGGAACTGCTTCTTGTCTGTGTATTCCCCAGCTCCTGAGAATGTCACCTGCACTATACCTGATGGTGTGCCAATAGATATCACAGTGAAGTTGATGGTCTGCCTTGTACATCTCAACATTCTTGAACCACTTAACGTATGTAACAAGATCTGTACTTGAGATACTTGAGATCAAATGCACCATCTGTTTTCTTTAGATGTCAAGAAATTATAAACTTGACCCTAGAGTTTCACATTTCTTAATAACCAGGGAGGTAACAGTAGGCATCAAATAATTTTGTATGAATACATTATGAAAACTAAAATTGTTTTGCAATTGGGCTTACAGTAATTTATTTTTCTTTTAAAATAACAATCTAAAGATCATAATTTCAGATTGTCTTTAGACAATTTGAGATTGTCATTAGAGAATTAGACAATAATTCTGACAGCTATTCTTTTTTGCTGACTTTGGACCAAGTATATTATTGAAAAAAAAAAAGTACTTAGCATCTACTTTGTAAACCTTAGGATAAGGTATTGAGTAAAATATACAAATCCATACCCTCATGGGTTGGGATGCTTTTTTGTTTTAATGGGATTCGATAATAAAACAAATAAATAACATATACAGGACATTGGCTGGTGATAAGTGTTCTGGAAAAAAAGGAGGAAAATAAGGAATATTGGGGGCAGGGAAAAGTTGCAGTTTTCAATAGGGGATGAGGTGACATTTGGCAGGGCACCATGGTGCACACTTAAAATCCAAGCACTGGGAGGCTGAGGCGGGCGGATCTTTTGAGGTCAGGAGTTCAAGACTAGCCTGGGCAACATGGTGAAACCCTATGTCTACAAAAAATACAAAAAATTTAGCTGGGTGTGGTGGCACACACCTGTAGTGCCAGCTACTTGGGAGGTGAGGTGGGAGGATTGCTTGAGCCCAGGAGGTAGAGATTGCAGACCTTGTCTCAAAAAAAAAAAAAAACAAAAAAAACAAAAGGTGACATTTGAATAATGACCTGAAGGAAGTGAGGAAGTAAACCATGGGGATATCTAAGGAAACAGCTTTCCAAAAACATCAGCAGACACAGAAGCCCTGAGGCACAGGATGTTGTGCTGGTTAGAGGAAGAGCAAAACAGATTAGCTGTGTCTTAGTTCCTGCAATGCCTGTCTTTAAACAGATCCACAAAATGTGTTCAATGGGTATGAGTTATTTAAAATAAAGATGCAGAAGTGAACAGAAAATTGATCATATAAAGCTGGTTTTATTAAGCCCTGCTCCTTTTCAGCTTGCCTCATATAACTGATACGTAGTTTAAAAAGAGAGCTATAGACTTTGGGAGGCCGAGGCGGATAGATCACTTAAGGCCAGGAGTTTGAGACTAGCCTGGCCAACATGGTGAAACCTTGTCTCTACTAAACATACAAAAATTAGCTGGGCTTGGTGGTATGCACCTGTGATCCCAGCTACTCAGGAAGCTAAGGCACGAGAATCACTTGAACCCAGCAAGCAGAGGTTGTAGTGAGCCGAGATTGTGCCACTGCACTCCAGCGTGGGTGACAGGGAGAGACTTTGTCTCAAAAAAAAAAGAGAAAAAAACCTATAGATAGATGTGCACGTTTGTAATGAATGTTTAACTTCAGGCTTTTATTTGTGGTCTAGCCTCTCTTGACAACACTAGTAGAACAGAATCCTGAAGATATGGGAGACCTATACCTAGATGTTGCTGAAGCTTTTCTGGATGTTGGTGAATATAATTCTGCACTTCCCCTCCTCAGTGCTCTTGTTTGCTCTGAAAGATACAACCTTGCAGTAGTTTGGCTTCGTCATGCAGGTAACACTTTTTTGTGGGAGGAAGAAGTTTTAATCTTATAAGCAGCCAAGAACTTACTTTCCCAAGATGGTAATAATTATTAGAGTGCAAGTATTTCTGGTTTCAGGGGAGTTTTTTGAAAGTCAGTGTTTTAAATTGTCTTGCTAGGCTACTCAGTGATTTCCCCATCACTAATGCTTTGGAGGAACGATTTACTTAATGATGCCAGAGTGAAGTAGAAGGACTCATTTCCCTTAAATGCCTGTCTTGAACCTGTCTTAACCATAGGCTCTGGCTTCTAGTAAAGGATTATCAGACTTGGGGCAAAACCTAATTTTGAAGAGTTTTTATAGATTTAATATGTTATTTTGGGAAAAATTAATATATTTTTCAATGCTCTTTGAGCCATACATGCTTAAAATTGGGTTTTATCAGCCATTTATTACACTGTGCCTAAGTCCATAGTAATCTGAAGTGAATCATTTAGACTGGAAAAAATAGCTTAAGAAACATGACTAAATCTTTTGAAGAAATACATGAAAGCAAAAAGTATTCTAATAGGATTTCTTATTGAGTTAACATAAAAGATGCATTAAAAATCGAATAGTCTTGGTTCCAAATACTGTGTGATGGCAGAAAACTCTAATGGCTCTTACATGAAAGCAAAAAGTATTCTAATAGGATTTCTTATTGAGTCAACATAAAAGATGCTTTAAAAATCGAATAGTTTTGGTTTCAAATACTGTGTGATGGCAGAAAATTCTAATGGCTCTTAAGTATTATATGATGACAGAAAGTTGTCTATAACTAGAGAAGCATTGATTGGCATTTTGGGTCAGTAGTGCACTCACATCATAGATATGAACTAGGAAAGAGAGCACTTAATGATTAAGGTAACACTTTTCCGTTTAGATGAATGAATATGAATACAAATGTAATACCATCATGAAAAGTTGCATTATTTGTGAAATTTGAATTTTAAAGACATGAGCAGGATATTTGAGTTTTTATTGCCTTTCTAATTAGGGCTGTGATATTGAAACTGCTCCTGTGTTACTAATAGTATGTACTTTAAACATCCTATTTAGTCATGATTCTGATAAATGCTGTTTCCATTTTGAGCCCATGTGGCTTGAGATGAATGAAAGGTAAAATCTCAGTCATCTAAAAATTGTAAAGAAATTTGGGATCAGTATATAAGAAAGATAATTAGAGGAATTCAGTGCTTGTAACATAACAAAATAACAAAATGTTTTTAAAGTGAAAAATGAGAAAATGTAAGAAATGTCACTGTGCTGATCCATCCATATTAGTGTTCTTCCTTTATTATCAAAATTTAACCTAAAGATGATGGTCATCATAATAATGAAATTATTATTTTAAAGTAAAATGGGCTAATAAAACATACCTGTGGGTTACACTGGTCTGCCAATTGTGCGCTCTGGTTTATATATATGAAGATGTTTACTGTAGTATTATTAGAGTAAAAGTTTAGAAACAACCTAAATGGCAAATAATATTAAATAATCAATTTGATTACTATGTAACCATTCAAGATGCCAGTGAAGACAGTGTTTAAAATGTAATGCTCAATGAATAAAGCAGAACCCTAAATTATATGTATACACTGATTACTCCTTAGCAATTTAAATTTATGAGAGATCGACTGATTAATAGAGATTAGGGATAGTTTTAAAGTACTAGAAATACGCATTCATTTCTTGTTATAATTTTTTACATTGCTGTATTTCTTTTAAAATGGAAAGTAATTTTGGCCAGTTTACAAATCTGTAGTTCATACTTATGCTTTATTTTAACATCATCTTAGAATGTTTAAAGGCCTTAGGCTATATGGAGCGAGCTGCCGAAAGCTATGGCAAGGTGGTTGATCTGGCCCCACTCCATTTGGATGCAAGGATTTCACTTTCTACCCTTCAGCAGCAGCTGGGCCGGCCTGAGAAAGCCCTGGAAGCTCTGGAACCAATGTATGATCCAGATACTTTAGCACAGGATGCAAATGCTGCACAGCAGGTGGGCCATGTCACATAGAGGGAAGTTTTTCGTGGTACATTATATTTTAGAACTTTCTCCTCAGTTAAGGATGTCTCTACAGCTTATATCCAAAATTTTATTTTAGTGTATTAAATTCAATGTTTTTGAAAAATGATTTTAAGTATTAGGTTTCAGCCACTTATTACAAATTACAGTTTTTAAAATATTGGCTCTTAATTATTGTGAAAGACCATAAAGCAAATGTTTTTAAAGTTTGGTTTTTAAAAATGTTTCTATGCAAATAAAACAATTTATAGAAAAGGAATCTTGTTAGGCTCATCATCATGTGCTTATTTGTTTAGGAACTGAAGTTATTGCTTCATCGTTCTACTCTATTGTTTTCACAAGGCAAAATGTATGGTTATGTGGATACCTTACTTACTATGTTAGCCATGCTTTTAAAGGTGGGTAATGATCTTTCTTCATGTTAGCCTTGTTGACTTTTAAAATGTTTAGTATTTCATTTAAACATAGCTTATACTATTTGATAATTGTTTTACTTCATTAAACTCAAACTTTTTAAAGTGAAAGATAAAAAAAAGCTAGAGATTATTGGTATATGACTGAAAGTTCTTGACAGTAGCTTAAGTGAAAATCTTCCCTAGTACATATTTAGAAAAGTGAGCACTATAGGACTATCAGATATTGACCCTGTAGACAGAACTATGTGCCAAAATTACTCACTTTGCAAAAGTATTTTCCAGATCTAATATTCTTTCTGAGTCTGGCTTATTTGCAGGGAGGTAGCTCTGTGGGTGTGTCTCTGGGGATGTGTGTGTATACATGTTATAATGGTAATGTGAATTGCCTTTTTTCTTTCTGAGGTGAGGAATGTGACCAAAATTCCTTTGGTAAGAAAAAAATAAGTCAGTTCATTCTAATTTTAGCTTTGTAATGTAGTAATTTGGTTTTTTTTTTTCTTACTGAGGGAGCTTTCAGTCTTGTGGCACCTGTGACCCATAGGTTTTCTTTAAAAAATTATTATTTAGAGCTGGGTATGGTGGCGTGTGTCTGTGGTCCCAGCTACTCGGGAGGCTGAGGTGAGAGGATCGCTTGAGCTTAGGAGTTCAAATCCAGCCTGAGCCAACATAACAAGACTTTGTCTCTAAACAAAAAAGTTATTGTTTAAAAAATCTGAATTTTTCATCTTTAATTCAGGTAGCAATGAATCGAGCCCAAGTTTGTTTGATATCCAGTTCCAAGTCTGGAGAGAGGCATCTCTATCTTATTAAAGTATCGAGAGACAAAATATCAGACAGCAATGACCAAGAGTCAGCAAATTGTGATGCAAAAGGTAATAACTTCATTTGCATTATGTTATATAAAATTTGGCTGAATTGAAAAAGACTCATGAAGTAATTAATTGAAAATACCCTTTTCAAATAAAATGAGATTTTCTAATCTAAATCTCTCACGTGTAATAAACTCATTCATTGTTAAAAAGGAAAGGCTAAATGTAAATACTTTAAGTTAAAAAAATTCAAAGGAAAGCATCTGCTTGGATCTTCCTGTGAAAGAAGTAAAACAAAACTTTGACTTTTTAAAAAGAAAATATATTTTAAGAAATTTGTGTAGATTAGATGACAGTATAGATTATTTGTCCAGAGACCTCACTTATATATATTCCATTCTCTATGAAATAATTTTTAACAAATGTAGCAATAGTCATAGAAACTCTGAAAATAAGTTGCTGTGAGACCTAGTCTCAAGTAATATAACTTTAAAAGACGACAGCTTCTACCTCTGCAGCTTGTGTTTTCAACCATGTTTTCTTATGTTGTATTTTTCTCTCTGTGTGATCTGCCTGTTTTCTTTCAGTGATTCCTCACTGGAGGTCCATGGTTAGTTTTTCGTAGGCTCATAAGGTTTTGTTTTGTTTTGTAAATTTTATCATGGTGAGGATCACATTACACTGGTGTACCAGGATAGACATTTCATCATCTTGCTCTGTTCTCTTCAGTTATTATATTTAAGGATTGTGTAATATTCCATTGGATAGTGGTTCCATAATTTATTTAATCATTTTCTTATTTTTTGGCATATGATCACTTTTGACAATTTTCTTTTATAAACAGTAATGTAGTGAGCATATTCATAGATACAGATTTGTCCATATTTTGATTGTTTAGGATAGATTCTCAGAAGGAAAATTATTGGATCAAAGACAGTAAAATTTTTTATGGCTTTTGATATTTCTTAAGGGCTATAAAAGGGAGGCTTTTTACAGAGAACTAAGGAAGAGAAGGAGGTTGTTAAAGAGACATTTTAAGGCAGAGAAAATTGAGATCAGAAAAAGATAACAACTTGAATCTCAAAGTATGAATTTGAAGTCTTTTGCTAAGCAAACATTTGAATGCCCGTATGTATGTAATCCTCTATCACTGGGGTCCCCAACCCTGGTACCAGTCCGTGGTCTGCTAGGGACTGGGTCGCGCAGCAGGAGGTTAGTAGTGGGTGGGCAAGCGAACATTCCCACCTGAGCTTCCCCTCCTGTCAGATCAGCAGCAGTGTTAGATTCTCATAGGAGCGCAAACCCTATTGTAAACTGCCCATGCGGGGGATCTAGGTTGCATTCTCCTTATGAGAATTGAATGCGTGATGATCTGTCACTGTCTCCCACCACCCCCAGATGGGACTGTCTAGTTGCAGGAAAACAAGCTCAGGGCTCCCACTGATTCTACATTATGGTGAGTTGTACAATTATTTCATTATACATTACAACATAATAATGGAAATAAAGTGCACAATAAATGTAATGTGCTTGAATTATCCTGAAACCATCCTTCTCATCCCCGGTCCATGGAAAAATTGCCTTGCATGAAACTGGTCCTTGGTGCCAAAAAGGTTGGGACCACTTCTCTATGGGACTGCAGTCATAGAAAGTACACTTGTTCTACCCTGGAGGAGATATATCCTAGCTAGCATGGAGAAATGCAGATGGAACTAGCTGGAACTTGTAGAGAACAAGTCCGAATCAGATGCCTGGGAATGCAGGTGGTTAAACTGGCAGAGTAGAAAGAGGTAGTATTGAAGGAGTGTAAGCAACCACCCTTTCTCATCTTTGTCCAGAGAGCACTGGCAACAATTTAGGCTCATGGTTATTAAGCTTATCTTAAAATTGATTATGTGAATTTTTCTAATACTATTTCTGGAAATGCAGTGTCCTAACTGGTTTTCATTGGTCTCATTTTAGCAATATTTGCTGTGCTTACAAGCGTCTTGACAAAGGATGACTGGTGGAATCTTCTGTTGAAGGCCATATACTCCTTATGTGACCTATCCCGATTTCAAGAGGCTGAGTTGCTTGTAGATTCCTCATTGGAATATTACTCATTTTATGATGACAGGCAAAAACGCAAAGAACTAGAATACTTTGGTCTGTCTGCTGCAATTCTGGACAAAAATTTCAGAAAGGCATACAACTATATCAGGTGACTTCCCAGTTATTTATTTTAGTTAGATTCTTTAATAGAGTAAGTAAATGTACTTTGATTTAGAAGCTACTTTACTTTTGGCTGTCCTATTAATAAACTGGTTAATTCAGTTCATTGGTGGTTCTCAAGAGGCAGTATATGAGAAGATGCACTCTAGGACCAGACTTTCTGGGTTCAAATCCCAGCCCTGATGCCTACTGGCTACGTGACCTTAGGCTAGTTAGGTAATCTCTAGTGCCACAGTCTTCCCACTTATAAAAGGTTATCATAATACTACCATCTCATAGGGTTATGATGAAGGTTAAAGGAGTTGTTATGCCTTCTAACAATGCTTGGCAAATATTATCATTATTATTATTATTATTATTATTATTATTATTTTTGAGATGGAGTTTCAGTCCTGTTGCCCAGGCTGGAGTGCAGTGGCATGGTCTTGGCTCACTGCAACCTCTGCCTTCTGGGTTCAAGCGATTCTCCTGCCTCAGCCTCCCAAGTAGCTGGGATTACAGGCGTGTGCCACCAGGCCCAGCTAATTTTGTATTTTTAGTAGAGACGGCGTTTCTCCATGTTGGTCAGGCTGGTCTTGAACTCCTGATCTCAGGTGATCCACCCGCCTCGGCCTCCCAAAGTGCTGGGATTACAGGTGTGAGCCACCGTGCCCGGCCAATGCCTGACAAATATCATTATGAGTTACTATTCAGTACTGCAGCTATAGTGGGCAAGGAGAGAAAAAGTGAAACCTAAACCACTTGCTTCTGTTTTAGTTTAAAAGTTTTGTTGAAAGTAGAAATAAGATGTAGAAACACTAAAGCAACATTTTCTGGGAAAAATCTTTTATTGCGTAGGAGAGTTTTGCTTTAAATAGATTGAAACTGTCTGCTTTTCCTTGTTAGAGGATGGTACATTTCAGTGCTGGTAGGACAGCACTGAAGGGTTTCATTTTTAGAAATCAGGAAGATTTTTACATTATTTTCTCCCTTACCCTCTTCCTGCAATTTTAGGATAATGGTAATGGAAAATGTCAATAAACCCCAGCTCTGGAACATTTTCAATCAAGTTACCATGCACTCCCAAGATGTACGACATCATCGCTTCTGTCTCCGTTTGATGCTGAAAAACCCAGAAAATCATGCCCTGTGTGTCTTAAATGGACACAATGCATTTGTATCTGGTAGTTTTAAGCATGCGCTTGGTAAGTGTCCTGGCACGTGACTTTGTAGCGCATAAATAGTGTGGTGAAGAGCCTAGTCTCTGGAGTGGAACTGTCTGGGTTAATTAGCAGCCCCACTGCGACAAATTATTCTACCTCCTCCTGTCTCAGTTTCTTTATCTTTAAAATGGAGATAATAATTGGACCTACTTTGTAGATTATTGTGAAAATTAAATGAGTCAATATAAAGAACTTAAAACAGTGCCTGGCACATATAGTAAGTGGATATAGTAGCAAAAATGATAATAATTACTAATATTAATATTTGTTATTCTTATTAAGCTTTGGTTGTAAAAGGCTGATATAGGTCTTATAAAATTCATTTTAAAGGTCAATTCTCCCTTCTTAGGCCTATTTATTTTTAAAATGATTTTTGTTAATTATGGATGCTTTTGTCACTTGATTTTAATTTGCTATATGCAAAACGTGTTCAAGATTTGCTGAAAGTTCATTCCTTTAGGAGATAAGTCTATATTAAGGTTTATTTATGTAGTGCTTACTAATTCTAATTAAACTCAAGGAAACTTCATTAGTCATTTATAATAAGGAATTTCTATAATAAGGAATCAGAAGTAAACAAGTATTACTTGCAGAGTCTCCTTTAAAAAAAAAGAAGCAAACAAGTGGAAAAATAACTAAATGTTTAAACTTAAAATTAGGCATGCATGTCCGACTGCCTAAAAGCTGGTGTTGCCAGATTTACTTCTTATGAGTAAACTATGGTTTTTGGCTATTTAATACTTTCATGATTCCTTGTGTATGGCTAGTATTTTTATCATTGTTCATCTAGTAACCTCAAACATCAGATGTTGAAACATTCCTCTTTTGTGTGTGCTTTGTGGAATTGTTTTATATTAAGAAAATATAAATATTTTATTTTCCTATATTAGAAACTTTTATAAAAGGTTAAAATCACAGACAAACGGCAGTGTACCATCTTTGCTGCCTAAGAGATTCTGTGGTGCCGTTCCTTCCAGAATAGAAGCCAGAAGGAATAGAAATTTTCATCTATATGTGATACACTATATGTTATTCCTTTATGAGAAAAACTTGCTTAAATTCCCCTACTGCATATGATTAGGCTTTTGACAAGAGATGATTGTATATATGGAATACATGTAATTCATAAAACCCCAAATTCTTATTCTGTTATTGGATACATTTAGCTTTTTCAGAAAAAACAAAATAGTTGCTACATTTGGGAAAACAACACCCATAGTCTAAAAAACAAAACAAAGCTTTCCTCTTCTCACCTCCATGATCCACCACATTTGAATTTATAAAACAGATCAACTGATTCTACGAAAATGTTCCCCAAAACACACATCCTCTATTTTCAAAATAGATTTAAGGTTATAAAATAGATTTAATGACTGCAGCTGATAAATTGTTTATTTTGGAAGTATTACTTTACATGGAAATGTCTAGCTGTGCCTAGAAAAAGTTAATTTAGTTCCTCATATTAATCTTCATGGTCAGCATACATTCATGGGGAACTTGTTCTAATTATATTTTATACATTGTTTTAAAATTCAGATTAATAGGTCTCTGGTTGATATTTTAGAATGTCCACCTTATGTATGTTAAAATCAGTAATGTTTGTTTAGCCTTAAAAGTGTTGAAGAAATAAAGAACTCTGTTCTTGTCACACCGTCTGACACCACTGCTCGTTTTCCAGGACAGTATGTGCAAGCCTTTCGCACTCACCCTGATGAACCTCTCTATAGCCTCTGTATAGGCCTGACCTTTATTCATATGGCATCTCAGAAGTATGTGTTACGGAGACATGCTCTTATTGTACAGGTAATTCATTCAAATTTCTCGTTACTTGATTTGTTTCTTAAAAATGAATATACTTAATACTTTTTTTTTAAAATCCTGCTTCAAAAGTAATACACAATGCTCAGTACACATGACGGGAGTCCCCAACACTTACACAGTGTTCAGCACTCAGCGCATAGTTATACTCATGGTTAAGACTTACTACGGCGATATAGTAAAGGTACACAGCCAGATCTTTAGGGACAAAGACACAGGCAGAATCTGGAGGAATGCACTGGCAGGCTTCCGTATGTCTGGTGTCTCAAGGTCTCTAGCCATCTTAGGTACTGAAGATTCACTTAAAGTAGTTTAAACAAAATAATTATACATCCAGTAATATGATTGTGCCTGTTTCCTTACACCATCACCAACAAATTGTTCTTTTAAAATTTTCTTTGTGGTTCTTATCATAATTTCAAATTATGTTTCGTGTTATCTACTTTAATAGCATGTCTCTTCTAATAAGAGTATAAAGTCCAAGAGATCAGAAATCTTGTCTGTCTTGTTCACTACTCTGCCTTCAGCACTTACATTTCTATGATTTCATTTTTGTATGTTTGATGTTTCCAAAATATGATATGGTATAGACATGTCTTTTATTAAATAGGTGAGAAAGGAAAGAAAATGTTGACTCGAATGGAGTTGCAGGGTCTAGTAAGGGGCTTTTGTTTCTTTTACAGTAAAATGGTTAAAATAAAGCCTGCATTAAAACGGTGATGACAGTTGAAACTAGGTATGGGTTCATTAAGGTGGTCTCTTTACTGTTGTATATTTGAAAATTTCTATAATAAGTTTTTTTAAAAACCTGAAAAACAGAAACTTCTAAATTTTTCCTTTTTTGTATTCTATCTACCTTTTCCTCAAAGCTTCTTTTTCTTCCTTATTGGATACTATTTGCTGTATTAAGTAATGTAGGATTGTGTATAAATTAAATGTAGTGAGCGCTTATTTTGTGCCAGGAACTGGGGACATAGCAGTGAGTAAGTACACAGGTGGAATTTCTTGCCCTCATAAAATTCTGGCAAAAATTGATAGGAAAATCTTATGGATTAACTCATTAAATATGTAAAAGATGTAGTTTTTGGGCTTTATAGGACAAAAATTCATGTACTTCAAGGTAATATGGAAGCTAAATTTCAAATTACTTCTATAGTTAAATAGGTTTCAAATGGTTGGAGGTAGAGATGAAACGAGGTAATGAGTATATGGAAGTTCATTGGACTAATCTCTTTTGTGTATGTTAAACATTTTCCATAAAAATTTCTGAGAAGCAGATTTTATTGTAAATAGCGTCATTTCTGAAACTGTTCTCTTATTTATCTTTCTTCCTGCTACAACACTATAGTTTTCTGTTACACTACCTAAAAAAAATTTTTTTTATGGTTTATTATCTTTCTTACCTTTATATTGTATTAAAAGTAAAATCATTCATGTTTCCTCACTTCTACCTTTATTTAATATTATATAGACAGTAAGTACATTGGGCCCTTTAGTGATTAATTTGATTTAAATGTTTGAAATATAACAAAATGTTGGAAATGTAACATAATGTCAAAATAACTCTTTTCTTTTCCATTTAAACTGTGTGTTTTTGGCTGGGCACGGTGGCTTACACCTGTAATCCCTGCACTTTGGGTGGCCGAGGTGGGTGGATCATTTGTGGTCAGGAGTTTGAGACCAGCCTGGCCAATATGGTGAAACTTGGTCTCTACTAAAAATACAAAAATGAGCCAGGTGTGGTGGCGTGTGCCTGTAATCCCAGCTACTCAGGAGGGTCAGGCAGGAGAATCACTTGAACCCAGGAGGTGGAGGTTGTAGTGAGCTGAGATCGCACCACTGCACTCCTGTGTGATAGAGCAAGACTCCATCTGGGAGAACAGAACAGAATAGAACAATAGAATTTGTTTTGCAGTTTTTAAATTTGATAATTCACCGTATCTATAAAGTAAAGTGGTTGCCCACATTGTCTAGTTTTTAAAATCACTAAATATTATTTGAATAGTCTTTCAGATTATCCCCTTGAATTTGTTAAACATTTCTTAAGGAGCAGCAAGTAATTCCATTATTGTATTAGAGGACCTAGAGGTTCATTTGCATTACAACAATTCATCTGAGATTCCTATTCCTTTTTTCCTCATATTTTTGTCTTTAAATTTGTCTTGTCATTTTTAACTATGAAGACTTGATATTTCTTTGCAATTAACAGTCAGATAGTCTGCTGGTACTTAAGAGAGCTGTGTGTTTCAGTGGAATAGAGGTCGTAGTCACACAAATAGGTTATTTTATTATGCAGAAAGTATGATTTGTATACTGACCATGAGTATTACTACCCCTAAATAATTCATTTTTATTATTTACCTATTTATAAAGGAAAATTTGTGACCACTTAACTATATAGCAGATCATCTAGAGAATAATTACATTTTATATTCTATATTCATAAATTAGTTGATTTATTCTTAATTATCTGGTCATATATTTGATTACTCAGTTAGGACTCTTGGACCTTTGCAATTTGTAATTTCAGTGGATGATAAAAGCGGAAGCTGTATTAAAAGGGAAAGTGAATATGAGAAGAGGTAAAGAAACAAGTTGTTTTTTGGACTGTGTGACCCACAGGGAGTCAGCGTCATTGTAGCTGTGCTCTGAAATAGTTTCTCCATAAATCTTTGACTCAGAAGCTTTCAGGAGAAAAAAAATCCAGTTTTTTAGGTTAAGAGGTTATTAAAGTCCTGAGAAGTAACTTATAAAAGGTAAAATTTACCCTAAAATGTTAAGTATACTCAAGTGAATTTGCTCCTGAGAGGAAACCTTTGTACATTATCATTATTTTATATCTTGCTCAAGCTTTTAGGCATCAATCTCACATCAAAAAGTTTATTGGCCTATAACAGCACAAGCCAACTTGAAATTATTTTTTAAAAGTTTTGTGTACTTGTAGATTATGAATCTCTGGTAGCTAGTTGTAACGTTTGGCTTTGTTTTCTGTGAATATTTATCCCTGGCTAAAAAAAATTCTTACATCTTCAAAAGAGCTATAATGTTGACACCTAACTATACCGTAATACTATACAGTAATAGGACACTAAGCAGATATGTTTTTAAAAAATATTTGTATTTTCAGCACCTGGTAATGCAGTGGTCTAGTACGTCGTTGTCAAATCAGTGAAATATTGAATTATCTTTCTCTTTTTGGTTAGGGCTTTTCCTTTCTTAATCGATACCTCAGTTTACGTGGGCCCTGCCAGGAATCATTCTACAATTTGGGCCGTGGCCTTCATCAGTTGGGGCTGATTCATCTTGCAATCCACTATTATCAGAAGGCCCTGGAGCTCCCTCCACTTGTGGTAGAGGTATTGTACATTTTTAAAACTGAGACACTTCATCTGTCTGTAGATAAGTGCAGTTAGCTAATTCCAGACAGTAAATAATAGTTTCTATATTAAAATGTATTTTCTCTTATTCAGTACATTTATGTAATTATGTTCAGCAACAGTTAGATCTTTCACATCTGAGCCTCAAGACTTGACCAGCAACCATGTGAACATATACAGCTTGTGGCTGTGAGCATTTTAGTTCCCAAGGTAGTTCCTATGCTTTACAGACAGGAACTGGTAGACATAAAGTCTGAATATTGAAGAATATTGTGACTGTTTCCAAGTGTAACTCACATGTTTCTTTATAAAGATGAAAGACCAGTATTAATGTAGTTTATTTTTAAGATAGGGTAGTGTTGCCAGTACTATGATGATCTATGTTTAAAGTCTGATTTTTATTTTAAATCCTGAAATAGGTTAATTTTTAAATATATTTTAACATAGCACTGTATTAGAAAAAACTTTAAAAACTCATAATCCCTGTATTCCCTCACAATTGTTTTCTATTACTGTTCAGTTTAAACAAATGAATATATATTTTTATAGTGATGCTGTTTTTATATATATACTATTTACATATTGTATATATATTTATATATGTATGTCATACATATTTTATATTATATATGCATATGTATATGTATAAATAGGTATATATGCATATTCATATATACTTTTTTTATATGTATAAAAACACTATTGTTTACTCACACCATTTATTCATCTTTGCATTTAATACTCTAGCCCTGTCAATATTACTTGAGGCAGTTTTTCAAATATACCTAAGAGGTTGTTTATTAAAGGTTGTTTTATACAGTGTTATTTCATAAATATTGTTAAATCTTGTTACTTGAGCTTTATAGGTATCATTTTTAATTGTTGCAGATTTTTTTTTTAGTTGACCCAAAGTTTTTGTATTGGGGAAGATTAGAAACATAGGTCTAATCTATTCCATTGAATTCATTGCTTTGTTATATATGTGGGAAAAACTATAATACCCCTGAGGTAATATTGTAGTCAATTTGTTGTATCCCTCCTAAACCTACACTTTATATGCCTTTCCATAATAGCATAGGAATTTTTTCCCATCTGGTCATTGGTGTTCATTTAATATTATGTTATTTTTACACAGAGAAGTTTTTTATGAAGTCATACATATCTTTCCCTTTATAGTTGCTACTTTTGCTATCATGAAAAGGACCTTTCCTACTCAAGATTATATTATCCCATTGTATTTTTTCTTTTATGGATTTTTTTTTTTTTAACTCTTAAATCCAAAATTCATCTGGCGTTTATTCTGCTGTAGTTTGTGGGTGAGACTTTAAATTACTGGCTAGACAGTTAAAATATTTGATAATAACTGTTAACTGAATCAGCATTGATCCAAGGTATATGCATAGTTTTATTATTTTTTTTAGTATATGAGCTTTAATAGCTTTTGAAAACTTACACTTATAACTATTAATTTGCCATAAAATTGTCCTGATTGACAGTTGGAAATATTAAACATAAGGGTATCTTTTTCTCCCTAGGGCATAGAAGTTGACCAGTTAGACTTACGAAGAGATATTGCCTACAACTTGTCTCTCATTTATCAGAGCAGTGGGAATACCGGAATGGCTCAAAGGCTTCTGTATACCTATTGTTCTATATAAAGCACCGCAACTGAGAATGGAGTAATGGCAGCTGCTGTGTGAGGACCAGTATCTTCTGTCTCAGGGCTTATTATTCGTAACTCCAAAACAGAAATGACAATTTCAGAATTACCTAACACTGTATTTATTTTTAATATGTAATAATTATCTTGTGGTATATATGCAAAATTATTCCTACAAAAATTTGTATATTCTGTCATTTTCCTTTCGCATTCTATAGTGAAATTGTTCCCAATGCTGAAATGGACATATAAGCCTTTGAGCTAGCTTGCAGTTGAATACACTATTTTTAACTCACTTTAGCTTTGTATTTAATACTATAGCTCTGTCAGTATCACATGAGGCAGTTTTTCAAATACGTATAAACAGAGGTTGTTTATTATTAAGGGGAAGACAAAGTGGGACTCTTGATGATGTCATGACCATGATAACTAAGCACCTAAGAAAATTATTTAAAATAGTTATGTCGTAGGTGGAAGACAAATAATTTAGTCTTTTACTTTTCACCTGCATGTATCTTAGCTACCTCAACTGAAACATGGGATGCTGGGCTTAATTCAAAACATATTGCTTCAAGGCAAATAAAAAAATGCTTCATCTGTATTTGTGGTTGATGAAAAAATAGAGAAGAGCTTGTTCGATAACAGGACATGGCTTCCATTTCAAGATCACAAAGAATATAAGACTGGGCAAGTAGTATATATGGAATAAAGGACATACTCCTGAGTAAAAACACGACATAAAAGCCTTTTACTCATCTCCACTATTACATGTTTTTGAATATAAGTTAACCATACTTTTTAGATATACTGTTAGCTTAATAACAATTTTTTTTTTTTTTGAGACAGAGTCTCGCTCTGTCACCCAGGCTGGAGTGCAGTGGCCGGATCTCAGCTCACTGCAAGCTCCGCCTTCTGGGTTTACGCCATTCTCCGGCCTCAGCCTCCCGAGTAGCTGGGACTACAGGCGCCCGCCACCTCGCCCGGCTAGTTTTTTGTATTTTTAGTGGAGACGGGGTTTCACCGTGTTAGCCAGGATGGTCTCGATCTCCTGACCTCGTGATCCGCCTGTCTCAGCCTCCCAAAGTGCTGGGATTACAGGCTTGAGCCACGGTGCCCGGCCAATAACAACTTTTTAGGGAAAAATAAAAGCTGTAATTAGTGTGCATATGGGTTAGTAACAGCCAGCCCAACTGTGGCAGGGAAACAAGTAGAGGCTTAGGATCAAATAAAATAGGGACTTATTAGGAATTCTTACCACTGTTTCTACTGTACACAAAACTTTCTAGTGCAGAATTTGTATGTAATAAGTATATTGTGTACTCTGTGTATAATTTAAATACATTTTATTTTTATAATTAAGGTTAATTGTTTCACATGCTTTTTTTTACTTCATGCCATTTACAGGTAATGGTAGAGGTACCAGATACAGTAATAAGTTAGACTAGTGTGTTGGAATTCTGTGGAACTGAGCATTCTGTGCTCTGAGTTTCTCTCTTAAATTAGCTCACTGGACTGTATGTAGCTCCAGTGTCTACTAAATAGCCTTGGAGGAAATAATAAGTCTCCCTAAGGAAAAATGAAAAAAAAAAAGCTGATATTGCATAGGTTTGTTTAGCTTTTAAAATCATAGCTACCATTTGCTGAGTTTTTACTCTGCTACTATATGCTAAGTACTGTGCTAAACACTTTGGATATGTTATCTCTGTTTCTCTCAGGGAACTGCAAGGTAGGTGTTGTTATTGATATTGTCATCACCACCTTATATCTAGAGATTAAATAGCATGTTCCAAGATCACTAGCAACCTGCTCCTTGCTCAGATTTTCCTTCAGAAGAACACAGTTGCTGCAGTTCAGAGTAACAACAAACATTAAGTTTTTTTTTTCTTTGAGACGGAGTCTGGCTCTGTCTCCAGGCTGGAGTCCAGTGGCACGATCTCAGCTCACTGCAAGCTCCGCCTCCCGGGTTCAAGTGATTCTCCTGCCTCAGCCTCCCAAGTAGCTGGGACTACAGGTGCCCGCCACTGTGCCTAGCTAACTTTTGTATTTTTAGTAGAGACAGGGTTTCACCATGTTGGCCAGGATGGTCTCGATCTCTTGACCTCGTGATTCGCCTGCCTCAGCCTCCCAAAGTGCTGGGATTACAGGTGTGAGCCACTGCTTCCAGCCAAGTATAAGCTTATTTTAGAAAGAAAAAAGACACTGGCAGTGTTTCTGTCTTCCAGGCCTTCAGCCCATCAAAACCCCTGTATAAAAACATCTTTTGGGGTATCTTTTTAAAAGCTCATATTCATTCTCTTACCTACCATCCTCACCTTAGCAGTGGGGTCCTGGTATCTGTTTCACGCACTGAGATTCCGCTGCTCCTGTGTGGTCACAGTTGATCGAGGAGGGAGTCTGCTCCTCAATCAATCTGGGCCAATCAGGAGTTTCCTCCCTCCTTCCCTGGGAATTTCAGACTTGAAATAGAACCTTCATGTGGGGCCAGAACTTCAGAACAATTAGGCCAACTAGCAGTTAACCCGTTCTGTTGGAAAGAAAAAAAAAGTGAGATGTATGCATTAAGAGAAGTAAAGATGAGCGAAGGAGAGAGTTCTCTGAAGTCCCAGAGATTTCCAGTTTTCAGTTCTATCCTAAGGCCAGCTGCCTTCTTACCCTTAGATTCGTTCTAGAAGATAGCCTTGATTCTGTTATAGTTTCCACTTAAATATTTACACCAGCTTGGGTTTTTCTGTTAAATGCACACACAAAAAAATTTGAACTGATCCACCACCATTCTATCTTTTAATTTAGCATTACTGCTTTCTAGCTATTTTCATAGGAAGAAAGAGTATAAAGCAAACAGAAATGAATATAAAATTTGTTGCTGAATTATAAGTAGAGTCACAAAGTCTAATCCACAATAAACAGGCTTTTCAAAATCGTTCAGAGCAAGAACAGGAGGAGTGTTCCTGCTGTGGTGTTGTAACGCTAATAGTATTATAATACCATAGTTAATACTGAAAGAACGTATACTCCAACATAACACTGAACAGGGTAGGAAAGGAGTTAATGGCCAAGATAGTGGGTGAGGATATGGGTAAGGGGGGACTAGAAATGAACTATATCTCCAGGTCTATAGTCCCTATACTAATGGCTATGCTATGAAACTGCAAATTATAATTTTGAGGCATTCTCAGAAGAAAATGATCAAATGAACTGAATTTTTTAAGTGGGCAAAAGGTGGATTCTGGAAACCACTTGGGCATGTTAGTCCTGGCATGATTCCAGCCATCTGTGTGCTCTCAGGAGAAGTGATGTTCCTTAGGATACTTACTCTTCCTTCCAAGCAAAAAGGCCAGCTGCCTTCTCACCCTTGGATTCATTGTATAAGATATCCTTGATTCTATAATAACTTCCACTTCAATATTCTGGAAATACACTTTTTGCTTGGTACTAGACTGGTGGTTCTGAGGACTACCTTACTTTTTATGTATCTGGGTTTCAGCAGAGTCTGTGAGGAAGACTGCTGTGATATGCTTGTGGATTGAATGGGAGTGTGGCTGGTTCTTCAGCTGGTAGAATGACCGAACTCAAAGAATGCATGTTGACAGACTGATGTAGACTGGAGACAAACTGCAAATGACATGCTGCCATGTTCATTAACATTAACAACTTAGGTGAAAATATAAGGAGTGGTCAAATTTGCATGGAGGGAAGCTAGAAGTTATAATAAATGCCAATACTAATTAATTAATGAAAAATCTCAACAATGTTATTAAATTGAACTGGGGTCTGCTTGCCCAGCATAGTTAGGCCAAACATCTATGCCAAGGTTTTCAGCAGGAGAAAGGAGGGCATTTATTTGTAGGCACCTTGAAGCAAGGAAAATTGGGCAGTTTATGCTTAGGACCTGACCTCTCCAGTGGCTCATAAGGAAGGGTTTTTAAAGGCCAGGGTACATTTTAAGAAAGCAAGAGTTAGAGGCAAAATTGTAAATTAATACATGGAGGTTCCATAATACATTGGTTTGGCCTCAAAGGGTGGGATATCTTGAAGTGGGGGCTTATAGGTAACAGATTTAAAGATTTTTTTGATTTGTAATTGGTTAAGGAAGAGAAGCTTTATTTAAAATTTTGGGGTCATCAGAAAAGAATGTTAGCCCTGGCTCGTGGGTGTGACTTGTTTTAGGCCTTTCAGGAAGAAACTCAGAGCAAGGAGTGGCAGCATTTAATCTTCAGTTCTCCCTTATTAGAGGTTTATGTGTCAGTGGATCCACTTGGTGGCGGGTCTGGTTTTTTGAAAAACAACTCAGGGACATATAAGATGCTCTTTTTAGTTTTTATAGAGATCCAAACCATCCAGTGACTAATTTTTTTTGGCTATTGTTTTAAGTTATTATCTTTTTGTTACGTTATTTTTTAGGGATAGTTAGGCATCTGGAATTTTTTTTTGAAGGAATTCAATATTTTAAGAAAATTTTGTTTGGTGCAGGGACAGGCTCTAGGCCCCTAAGAGGGGTTCCTGTTCCATCTCAAAAGTAACACAGTTACTTTTATCTCCCAAATCCAAAAACCAGCAAAACATAGCAAACAAAAAGACAGTATAAACTCCAGGCCAAAAAGAGTAAGAGATGACAGGGAGATGACAAAATAATTTTTAGAAATTAGGAAGCAAATGGGCAACTGGTAACTAAATAAACTACAGTAAAATGAAAGCTAAATGCCCATAGGAGGTGGTAGGGAGAGGGGCAGAAGCAAGCTGATTCAAGACCTTAAAGCTTGTCCACTAGGTGCCTCCAAACGCAGGTGAAGTGTGGTCAAAAATGGGAGCAGTGGCAAGGCTGTTAAGCTGCAGTGAGACCCTCTATAGTTACCCTTTTCACCTAAGGAAACTCTGTCCCACTCCCTCATGGCACACTGGTGATCTGTTTTCTGGAGTTGTTGAATCAGGACCCCTGGATTCGGGAATACCAGGCAGAGATGAAGGCCAGAGTGTTATACTGAAAGCAGAGGATTAAGTGCAAGTCTACACACGGAGCAGCAAGATGCCCAGCTGCCTTTTCCTTAGCTCCTAGAAAACCGGCATCTATTTAACATCCTCTGAGCAGGACGTTAAAGGGTTCCTTTCTGAGAAATCCTGTCCAAGAAAAAAAAGCTTATATATACTGG